TGGCCTAAACTGCTTCACCTGTATTCTTGAACCTTTTCTAGTACACGGGAGAAAAAAATAGTACATGCCTAAGATCCAAAACATATTTTGCCTTTTTTCTGGATGAATTAAAATATTGCTGCTTATATACTGTCAGAATGTTTTATCCGATAAGCCTGTAACTTTCCACTGCTAGATAGTGACAACTTTCTTTTCCTTTCAGATGCTCTCCAAACCCTTGGTTATGGAATATTTGACTAATCCTGGTGCACTCAGCATGGCTGCCGGCATTGCTTGTGGCATGTGCCTGGGCTGGAGACTCCGAGAACGCTTTAGAATGATCCCCAAGAGCTCGGTGAGCGAGACAGACACTGACACCGGAACAGAAGCAAGCATCTTAGGAGAGGGTGGGGAGTACAAAATGATTCTTGTGGTTCGAAGTGACTTAAAGATGGGAAAAGGGAAAGTGGCTGCCCAGTGCTCTCATGCTGCTGTTTCTGCCTACAAGCAAATTCAAAGGAGAAACCCTGAATTACTCAAACAATGGGAAAACTGTGGCCAGCCCAAAGTGGTGGTCAGAGCTCCTGATGAAAAAACTCTAGTTGAATTATTGACCCATGCAGAAATTCTGGGACTGACTGTAAGTTTAATCGAAGATGCAGGACGTACTCAGATTGCACCAGGCTCTCGAACTGTTCTAGGAATTGGGCCAGGACCAGTAGACCTAATTGACAAGGTCACTGGCCACCTAAAACTTTACTAGATGGAATATTGTATGATGATGGTCATCCCACCACCACAAGGGTTTGAAACTGTCAAATTCTAACAATAAAAGCTGAGTTTCTTCCCCCAACTTATGTATTCTTGAGATGAAAATCCATTCTTGTGTTCTTCTATCATGTACTTGGCCTGGTTACACAGTTATCTTGGGCTGAAAAAAAAAAAAAAGTTTGGTTAATAAATAGTCCTGGTGGTTCAAGAAATGGGTGCTGAAACAAGAAATATTTAAGATGAGAGGCAAAGGTCACAATAAAATTGATTACGAGGTGGGAAACAGCATTTCCTATGTGTGGTTTGGTCCCTTGGTGTGTTAATAGCTCTTCTATTACCCACCTTGGAGGATCAGGGGTCAGGGGTACTACCATTAGGTGCAAACTGTAGTTTGTTTTTCCTGCCTTCAGTTTTTGTATGACTGCCTATATTATTAATAGATCATGGGTTTAAAATCTAACTTTGTGGATTTGTCTTAAAGCTGAGGTTTTATAGCACTGATATAACCCACCCGTGCTGTGTTTCATGTTCACTCCCTAACCCACACTGGCTAAAGTTTCTCAGCAGCGGTCCTACACCTCTTTAGTTCCCCCCCTTTCCTAACAAACAATGAAGGCGTTGAAACTTGCGAAGTGACTTGTATGGACCTTGAAGGTGATAATGGGCCCACTTAAGAATTTATGGTAATTGTAAAGTGAATGTAGCTTAGCCCAACATCCCACTATTTCTTTACCTAGAACTTAAGAACTGGACAATTATTTAAGGGCACCTTATTTCCCTTTTGATCGTTATACACTTAGCATGACATAATTCCAATAATTACGTTATACCAGCTGCCCAGAATATGAAGGTTCCAGCTCCCAAGAGCCACATAGCTTCCTGATTGCTTTTTTGCAAAAAGGGATCCTGACAGGATTTCTAATTTCAGTATATCCCTAAGAACTATGATGATGTCAGGGAGAATATTGGTAACAGGCACATGTTAAGTGACTGCAGCTCTCCATGGTTAACTTCAGCAATTAGCATTAGTTAGCAGTTAACTTCAACATAGGCAGTAATATAGCACAACCGCAAGCTCTAAGGTCAGTGGAGTCTGGGCAGAACACTAAAGACTACTGCAGCCAGTCTTAAAGGTTCTATTTTGTCAGTTTTATAGTTTACACTGGCATCTGACAGCACAGAAGAAATTGCAACTGTGAAGGATGCTACAATAGCAGCTGTTTCTAAATAGAATGTTTATACCGGATTGGAAAGTGATGCAACAGCATGTAACTGAGCTGAAGAGAACCCAATCCTAAATGTATGATTCTGGCTTCGGTAATTTCTGAGGCTTGCCTCAGAGACCGAGGTTCTAGGTTCAAAAGTGCATTCCCAACAGGATGGTCTGCCGTGGCTGATATAAGGAATTGTAATAAATCATGGCATATCTACTAGGATGAAGAGTACACAAATTCTGGTAGTTAGTTATGGAAACATCATGTTTGTTTTCTAGCTCACCTGTACTTTCGTATTTATTTTATAGGGTTCATAATCTTATGGTTCACAAAGTATACTCTGCAGAGCCCTTGGGGTCTCTAAGACACTTGCAGGGGGTCAAAACAATTTTCCTAATACATTCTTTTCCTTTTCCACTGTTTTGACATTTGCAGTGATGATAAAAAAGCAATGGTGGGTAATACTGCCGGCACCTTTCACAAATCAAGGCAGGGGCACCTACCTGTACAAGTAGTCATTGTAGTTTTCACTGCCCTACACTTAGTTTAAAAAATTTCACTTCATGTCCTTGAAGAAGCAGTAAAAAATTATTAAATTTGATCCTTGACTGTTTGTTTTTATATTTTATGTAACATCAAATGCTTCTGGTGCACACTGAAGTGTGACTGTCATCTTGAGGAAAAACACTTGTGGCTGAGTCCTGAGCTGAACTGGCTGCTTTTGTCATCAAACATTTTTACTTGCAAGAACTGACAAAATCTAGTTAACCAGACCTGGATGCTTGGCAGATATAACTACAAAAAGTTCACCTTCATGATTTCAGAGTCCACACTTCAACTAACCACCAAGTATCTGGAAAGGCTATTAAAATACTCCTTCCTTTCCTTATTAAATATCTGTATGAGGCCAGATTTTCTTCATATACTTCAAAACATAACAGATTGAATGCAGAAGTAGTTACGAGAGTCCAGCAGTCTTCTGTTACAACAAACTTTAAAGAAACTTGTAAAAAATAGTACAATGCCATCCTTCTTGCTTGACTTTTGGTTGGGGAAATATGGTTAATTCATCATTGCTTACGTTAACGTTCAATGAGTTTATTAGTCATATTTAAATGGTTAATAGTTTAAAAAATTGTTTTAACTACTAAAATACAGTAAGTATGAATAGATAAAACCCCACATAAACTAGAGCTCTTTGGGATCTTCAGTAATTTGAGTATAAATAGGATCCTAAGAAGAAGTTTGAGAGCCGCTACAGCAGCGGTCCCCAACCTTTTTGGCACGAGGGACTGGTTTCATGGAAGATAATTTTTAAACGGACTGGGGTGGGGGCAGGGGGTGGTTTTGGGATGATTCACACACATTACATTTATTGTGCACTTTATTATTATATTGTAATATATAATGAAATAATTATACAGCTCTCTATAATGCAGAATCACTGGGAGCCCTGAGCTTGTTGTCACTTGCCACTCATAGGGTTTTGATGAGAGTCTGCAGTCAAACCTCTCTGCTAATAATCTGTACTTGCAGCCGCTCCCCAGCGCTAGCATCACTGTCTCAGCTCCACCTCAGATCATCAGGCATTAGATTCTCACAAGGAACACGCAACCTAGATCCCTTGCATGCACAGTTCACAGTAGGGTTCATGCTCCTATGAGAATCTAATGCTGCTTCTGATCTGACAGGAGGTGGAGTTCAGGTGGTAATGCGAGCAATGGGGAGTGGCTGTAAATACAGGTGAAGCTTCACTCTCTCACCCACTGCTCACCTCCTGCTGTGAGGCCCCATTCCTAACAGGTCCCCAGGTGTTGGGGACCCCTGCACAACAGTGAGAATATCTGCGTGACTAAATCAATTTATGGAAAATTAAAGCAGCCCTACTTGGAGATCATCAGTCTCTTGCTATTGTACCAATGTCTGCTGAAATGACTGTCAACAATTATCAGATTTTTTTTTGGTATAATGTCTATATTTGGATACTAGGGAGGAAGAGGAAGAAGTGTTCTTCCTAGGGAGGCAGATAACTGAAAGCATGTTTACCTCCTGAAAAGTTTCCTATGAATCTCTTTCCCCTTCTTCCCTCCTGTTTTAGTTACCTTTAGAGAGTGGTAAAGAACTCTTAGTACTCTTGGTTTTGTTTTTAGTTCCTTCTCCCAGACCATCGACCATCATCCTATTCAGAGGAAAGTTAGGGAAGATCCCTTAAATTACAGTTTATTACCAATTCATTGTCTCTTATTGTACAGCACTTACTACTGCCCAGTATTGAGCTAGGTGTTTTGTAATTTAAACATACTCCTACAAATAATCCTGAAAATTACTCATAGTGTTAACTTACAGGTGAAGGAACAAGCTCAGAAGTTCAGCTTGCTCTCAATTTGAACCTAAGTTATATGCTGCATCAGTTTCCCTTTCTACTGTAGCCCATTATGGATGGTTTTAAGGGGCAACTCAGTATCACAGACATAGCACCAGATTAAAACAAGGCTTCAAAAAACAAACAAACAAAAAAACCTCAAGTATGCTGTAAGAAAACCTTTACTAAAGTATTTTAGCTTGTTTCTATTAACTGGGAAGGGAAAAGAGAAAAATCTCTTGATTTTGACAAAGATGAAGGAAGGGGGCTGAGATCCAGGAGAAACAACAGGATGCCCAGGACCTGAGCAGCAAGGTGTTTTCCCTACGACAAGCCAAGGAAGGAAAAGGGATTTTTTCAACTAATACTATAATTTCCTATAGGAATATTGAGGGGTTGGGGGGAGGTGAAGGTGGGGAAAAGCAGGAGTTCTAAGTTTTAAAAAAACGTTCTGTGGAGTTTATGGTCAATGGCTTGACCTAGAGTTACAGAGCAATACAAAGCTAGGTTAGGGGGCTCTAACTATTGAGAATTAACAGTGAAATGAACTTAGAGTAACATTCTCAGCCATAAGCAAAAAAACTTGAATTCAAACACTGGTTTAAAAGAAATCAACTTAAAATACCCACAATTTGGGGGCCTTTACAATTCATGCTGAGGAACAGCATGTTAACTACATGCTTGTATAGTCTTACTTCAATATAATTTAACATCCATGATCTCTTCATAAATGAAATGCTTAGATAAACACCTAAAGTGCCCCCTCGGTTAAAATGATGGAGGTAGTAGAAGTGTAGCCCACTTCAGCACTGACTGGTTCTTTAGACAACTGCATGTACCTTATTAACTACTGGAGTGCACGCAGTGTAATGCAGTGTTTTCACACATCCCAATCTTCATTCCACTTCTGCTCTCATGCCTTCTTATACTGCCTCAGTATCCAATATGAAATGGTTCATTTGGTTTAAGTTTGAGAGATATTTAAGTAAAACTGCCATTCTACATGTTATTTCCACAGTCCAGTAATTTATTTTAAATTTGAGTAATTTCAAATTCCACAAACAAAACTGAAGAACAGCAATATTTTGTTTGAATTCTTTCTTCTGTACACTCAGTGATCTAAAACACCACAATATCCAACATACACAAACCTCAGGGAAGGGTTAGTAAATACACACAGATTGGAATCATGGTGCTCTTTGCTCCTGAATGGAATGGTCCCACAAAAAAAGCACAGGATACAGCACAACATAAGGGCACCTGTTACATATGAAGTGAGCAAAACCACACTAGCATTTTCTATATGTGTAATGAGGAAACCTGCATAGGTTAGAGGGCCTTTTACGCTCATTTAAGTCAGGCAAGTTGTCTGTACTGCATTTTTCAAACGATCTGGAGAGCACTGCAGTCCAGTGTAGGATATGCCGATTAGTGTTGTCTTTGTTGGCATTGACAGTCTTGCATGGTCACATACCAATATCTCTGCTTTAGCTTTTCTTTGAATAAAAGAGATTTAAATGCATTTAGACAATACATACTGTAAGCTGTTTACATACACTAAATTTAAGAGATTCAATATTAGAGTTTTTTTTTTTTCTTTAAACACTACGGAGTGCAAATCAGGTTCTTCACAACAGATTGAATATTAAGCACTTCTTCAAAGAATGAGGGGGAAGAAAAAAAGCCCAAGTGAATAAAACACTGAAACTATTCCCCTTTGAAAATAAATTCTAAAATGATGTGGAATGTGAAATAAGCTTTTAACATACGTGATCCAAGTTTACAGTTAGAAACAAAAAGTAGTCCTTCATGAAATAAAGGTTACAAGAACATGTGCCTGTTTTCCCCCGTTATAAACTGAGAAGCGGGTAGAGACGATGTTTCGGTACGAAAATAGGCGACTACAGGATCAGCTTTCCGTCTCACATGCTGTACCCAAAGCCAGGCTGTGGCTGCCCATAGGGTGGTGCAGTATAACCATAACCAAAAGGTGCCTGGGGAGGGACTGCAACACTGGGTCCTGCTGTCAGCATCAACTGGGGCTGACCTACAGAAGAAAACAAAAAGGAGCAGGGGTGGGGGGCAAGGAGGTGGGAGAAACTGTTAGCATCGTAGGATGATCACACCCCAGTCTCCCTACTCTAGCAACATAATTCATTCTACTTTGAATGAATTTTGTGGGGGCACTTCTGCCTGTCTCAATTTCACCATGACAGTCACCCTGAGAAGGGTCCTGCCTAAACAGCCAACAAAAACCGTGCAGGGCTGAAGGCCAGAACTGTAACAGTGATTATGTTACTTCATACATCATTTAAAGCAATAAGCACATGCATGCTCGACATGCTTAGGCAAGACATCTAGCAATAAGCCTATCACCACATGGTGTTTGCACATTTTATTTGGTGACAATATAATTAGCACAGGGGAACAATTTTTTAACAGATATATTTTTAACACAACTGAACTTTTATAGTTAGATTTAAATTCCTGATTTGGACACGTCTAAATGGTAACAAAACCAAATGCATTTCTAGCAAAGTATCCAGTACTAAAAAAAAAAAAGAAGTCAAAGACAAGGCATATTCAAATATGCATTAGGTGTGAAATACATTAGAGGATACAACCTCTTTCAAATACTAAGTTAACACTCTCATGACGTTTAAATAGTTATTGACACATACAGGAAACGACCTGTTGAGAACCTGGCTTATTTAGAGGGAGAATACACCTAACGCCTCTCCCCACCCCCTGCAAAAGAGGTACTACTCTTAATCTCCCACTATAACGTAAACCTAGGGCGAGATTTCTCCCACAAGTGACCTCATGTCTCTCCTTTTTGTGAATAACAACCAAAACGGTCTTCAGTGAGTGAACTCTTCAGGAACCAGCAGTTTATTAAAAAAACACTTCTAACCTTGATACTGACATCTACCTTGAAATTTCAACACCATTTTCTTTTTTTTTTTAACAACATAAGCATTTTATTTTTTCATTAAGCTTCTTAGTTTCTTAGTATCACAATGGAATGATGAGAAAACAAGAACAACAAAGAAAAACCCCATGAGTCTGCAAATCTCTGACAAACAGCAGAGACTTCAAGACAATTGAGGGGGAGGGAAGGAGAGGCTTGAAAGAAGTGCCAGAGTAGTGCCAACATCATGCCTCTCCTTAGCCGGCTGGGCAGGTGGAATGGTGAGAAGGTGGCACTGTCACAGCTGTCCTTGGCTCAACCCCATTTTCAACTGCCTACAAGGACTATGCATTTAAATACCCTGAAGATAAGCCAAATTCAGTAGATGCCCCCCAATTATTACATCCACCCTGTTTCTGTTTCTACTGTTTCCTGTATCAAATATGTCAAACATCTTGCTCCCATCTCTAAGAATCTACTTTATGTTCTCCAACTTTATCAAAACTACCCTGTCCTCTAAATTCCCAAAGTCCTTATCTATAGTAAAAAGGAGATAATGGCATAAGAGATTTGTATACTATCATTTCCTTTAGCAGGTTGAGATACAGCAGCCATAATTTTATACCCTCCTCCCAACACCACCTGCTTAAAGTGCTGTAAACTATACCCTTCAAATTCGTTGCTCAAATCAATCTGTTCACCGTGAGTGAAATGGAAAGGGGAAGTATTTCAGAAAGGCACATGTAAGAAGAAATTAAATTGCCTTAAATATTCACTGAGAGTCTGAAGATCCTATCTCTCTGGAAAGTTCTCAAATGGAAACGCTATCCAGTTCTCTGTCCTAGTCAGAATTTAAAGAGATGTACTATTTCTGTAAAGCATACTTAAGATGACCTTGGCATGTTCTCTCACCTTTTGTACTTCTGAAAATTGAGCTCACCAACACATCTTTCTCAGTAATTCATGAATAAGCAATCAGTGACCAGGCATTAGGTAAATTAGGTTATGATCTCAACTGACTTTTTTTTTTTTTTTTTTTGGTGGTACGCGGGCCTCTCACTGTTGTGGCCTCTCCCCCTGCGGAGCACACACCCCGGACGCGCAGGCCCAGCGGCCATGGCTCACGGGCCCAGCCGCTCCGCAGCATGTGGGATCTTCCCGGACCAGGGCACGAACCTGTGTCCCCTGCATTGGCAGGCGGACTCCCAACGACTGCGCCACCAGGGAAGCCCCAACTGACTGTTTTTTGAGATCACCTTTGCATTTAAGATTATCTTAGTGAGTAAAGCAACAGAAAGAAAAAAAAAATCATCTTAGTGAATAATGTCAATGCCCGCTTTAAGACTGTTTTCAGAAAAAAAATAATAGACTTATTCCTTAACTCAGTGAGCTTTTTGCACTTTAGAGCTTACTACATTTCTATTTTGAGATAGAATCCCCACAGAATGAACTGTTTGTCTACTATATTTCTGTGAGGTTAAAGAGAGAAAGAGATTACCATAAACAATAGGTTGAGTCTCTGTAGCTTGTTCTTCTTCTTTTCTCAGTGATTCTGAAGCATCTAATTTATCCACCTGGAGAAAAACAGGTAATGGTAATTAGCACCTCAAAAGTATTATAAACCTAGTTTATGGCAGAAAGTGGAAAAGCCTTAGTATGTTAAATTTTGTCAAAATAAAACAGACTAGAGTAGAAAGAACATTCTCAGCCCCCCTCAAATTCAATGGCAATGTTCATACTTCAGTCAAGGTGATTTTTAGCACTGTCATTATAAACCCTCAGGAAGGAGGGATTTATAAATGCCATAAAAGCTCACGCCAGGCTAAAACTGGGCATGCTAGGATGCAGCCAGCCTGAGGGAGGGAGACAACGAGAAGGAACCACTTTCTCAAATGAAGTTTAAACCCTATCAAAGATAATAATAATGAACTCATGACCTGGCAAGACTTCCCTCCCCAAAGGAAATGGTATTCAAAAAAGTGAAATGAGTCTAGTGACTGGATAAGCACTTGTGCAGAATGAGCTATCTTTTGCCAACTGTGCACAGCTTCTGTCAATATTGATTACGTGCGGACTGAAGTTTAAGATTCAAGTGGCTCCATATTCAATCTTTTTATATAAAGACAGGCTGCATGTGTTGATGCTCTATTTTCTAAGAAGGAACTAGGAATGCCTGATTTTCCCCCAACTTCTTTGAGGAAGACATTTTTTGCTTTTAATTAAGCCAAAGAAGCAAGTGGCTACTATATGCTAGCCATTCTAAGTAAAACTGGATAGTATCAGACAGAAATAATACTGTAGAGGAGTCCAAATATATTAGTGGAAGAAAAGAGCTGGAATACATAGATCCTTCCACTAACTAGTTGTGTGACCCTGGCAAACCATTGTACTGACCCTCAAATTTCCTTGTCTATGTAGTGAGTCAGTTGAATGAGATAATCTACAGAGTTCCTTCTAGGACTAACATGATTTGAATCTGGAATTCTGTGAAGGACTGGGGAGAATGACATTAGGACACTGGGATTAGGGAATCTCCACCATACCACTTCCATTTACCTTTTAAACTGTACTATATCTGTCTCTTAGACTGTATTTAAAAGTCTTATAGTTGGTCTATCATTATACTTGAAGTAAAACTAAACTTCAGATCTCAATGTTATCTATTATAGTGGCTTTCAAAGTCCTAAGTGCGCTGAGATGGGGAGGCAGAGTGCAGGAAAGAACTTTTTAATGAATGTTCACTGCATGTTCTTCAAAAAAGGCAATAGTGAAAAATCACTCACAAAAAAAGACATGCAGACTTCAGTGAAAAGGCTACTATAGACTGGGTCCCAAAAAGGTTAAAGCAGCGCCTAGTCTCTATCTGAAATTATTTAAAATAGTGTTTCAATCCTCACATAGGCCATTAAGGTTAGGACAGTATTTTATACATATTTTTACTGTTTCTATTAAATACCATAAATGTGGGTCTAATCCATCCTAATTTGTCAGGGAGCAAAATGTGAGAAAAGTAAGCTCAGGTAGACTCTAGACATCTTCAGATAAAATGTGGTTTTTCTACCCTAGGAAGATGGGTTAGTTTGCTTTTGTATACCATTTTTCTATTTTATAACCTAAGTGCTCATGTGTTACAAATTACCCCAATATCAAATTAAAGACTACTATGCAGTATAAGTACCATGAGAAATACCCACTGTTTGGCACCCAAACTTAAAACAAAAATTACTGCAGCTTTATAATTTAAAGCACAGTTTGTGCCATCAAGGGCAGTCAGATGGGGTTTCGTTAACCTAAATAGTTACACAAAACTGTAAGTATAGCTAAAGAGGTTATACAAAAAAAAATATGGATGAGTGTATGTTAATAACTTCTAAGAAAAATCAAACAACAACAAAAAACCACCACTGCATAATACATTTCCAGACTTTCAAGGAAAGGAATCTAAAGTGAACACGTGTTTAAAAGTTAATGTCTGAGTCAGATGTTGAAGACAGAAGTCCTATTACAGAAGTACATTAAAGACTTAGAAGAGCTAGCAATGTCACAATGCCCAGGCACAGACATGGGCAGGTTGGGCATAGGGACGAAACAAAAAGTAACAACTTTGAAGGAGTAATATCAAGCTAAGCAAAAAAATTTTTGATTTTTCTATTTCATGGGACAGCCTCTGGCACAGCAACATCCAATTATTGTTTCCACTGACCCAATTTAGACTGCTCAAAAAAGAAAAGCAGAGAAGGCTTTTATGAACACAAGCTTTTGTTAAGAGCTGTAACAAAAGTTTCTGATCCTTGGATTAAAAAAGAAAAATTACAGGTAAGCATGTCACTGAGTTCAGTTCCATCTGTACTACTGAAAATTCACTATAATGTAAAAGGCTTTTCCACAAAGACTGCAATATGCTGCAGAGGAAAAGTTAACATGCAGTCAGTTACTTTGGTGTATGTGTGCATGAAAAAAAGGCAAAAGTACTGAAGCAAGAAGTGAGATCTGAAGATGACTGTTTCTATACAGGCTCTCAAGAAACACACACAGCCCACAGCAATGCTTTAAGAGTTTCAAAAGTAGTATGATGTAATTGCAATGACTGTTGTACATGCTTGATTTAAAACAATGCATAACACTGCAGTTCAATTACCTATTTTTCACACACACGCTTTCTAACTGCCTTGCTTACTAGCTGCTGAAGGGCCTCACACACGATGCATTTTACTCAGGTTTGCCCTAAGTTCCAATGGTGACTCCAGTTTGGTTCAACATAATTCCAAGGCACTGTCCCCCCTCCAAATTCTTTTAAATTGTTTCAACTGTCCTTTACCTTCCCACCCTTTTCTCACCACAATTTGATACCAGAGGTAAGTTTGTTAAGTTTGTTTCATTTATACTGGGATGGAGACAAGCCAATGAAGGAAGCAGTGACCAAAAGGTACCTAAATTTGACCTTGGACAAGCCAACGGATGGATAAGAGCAAATTTGTAGCTTCAGAGATGTACCTTATTACAGAAAGTATAAGTTAATATTGTTTCATTATATACAGAAATAATCCATGTTGCTTAGCAACAATTACAGCAAGCTACTCTGATGGTTTTAAAAGTTTTGATTCCTCTTGAAAATGGACTAGCACCATAAGAACTGGACACCTGGAGAAACATGAGGAAAGTCTCTTCGGAAGCAGCTAGTATCTCTCGTATCTACTTTCAGCAAAAAATTAGTAAGAATCAAGAGATCAGAAACTGGATCACAGTCCTTCAATACCAAAAAACCCCAAAAAGCCTTTTAGGGCATGTATATACATATATAAATTCAGCAACTGTCAGGCACGCTTACAAAATAAAACCAGAGGCTGTTTAATTTTACTTCGAGTATTGAGAAAATCCTATTATGGTCCAGATACCCTGACAGGGAAGAGAAATTTCCTGAAACTTTGGAATTAATATGGAAACTCAACATGCTCAGTTTTTAATAATATATTTAAGAGAGACTGTGAACCAACTACTGATTAGCCTCCTGCCCTTCCTAAAGCCTATTAGCCGATTAGTAGCAAACATCTACTAATGTCCTAGAGCTCTATTATAGTTATGTTTCAAGGGACTTGCAGAGGCTTTAGTGAAAATTTATCGGGGGAAAAAGCAGCAGCAGCAGTGTAGAAAAGGAAGGAAAAAAAATCATGCAAATTCCTTAGACTTAGTCCTCCAGACTTAAAGATGGAAAAGAATCAACTTTCACCTTTTCCTTTATTGCATCAACCTGCAAAGGAATTCAGAAGGTGCAGCTTAGAAAAAAATCAAATTCCATATTGAGCATAAAAAGGTAGAATCAGCAACAAAGGTTTAGGGGAGAAACATCTAACCACTAAAAAAGGTATGAGAAAAGTGAAAATAAAGGGCATACTGGAAGCAAAACTTAGAATTTTTTTTTTTTTTTTTAACTTCAGAGCTTATCGCAGAAGAGTTTATGCTAGAGTCAGTGTGAAAGAAAGCAGCTTAATCACTAGTAAAATTTACAGCACTTCGGTTAACAGCAGCTTAGAGCCAGGTCTCACAAGTTGGCATTATGCATAAGAAAAGAAGCCATTCTCATCTATGGCTAAGACACAAGGTGAATGTTTTTCCTCTTACACTGGACTTTAAGCAGTTTATACACAGAAAATGTTAATTCTTAAAAAATTATAACTAACACATGATATCTAATTAGATGGCAGCCCAAGGAAATATTCAGTTATACTGGGGGTTGTTAGTAGTGCTCTTCCCCCCACTTTAACTCAGGCATTTTGAAGAGATCAGATATGAAACTCTGATTTTAATAAGCATGTTTTGCTTTGACAAAATGGATTCTTTAGGACCATTTAAATATGTTCTATAGTATGAAAGCTAGTAACTGTTGAGGACAGGGGTAAGTAAAAAACATCTTAACATCAAAAATGGACATTAAGATGAATAAGTGAATTTTATAATATGATTATACCCCCAGCTTGTTTAATGCACTTTTACGAAATGTGTCATTAATTGTTAACCTCCTACAATATTTTTAAATAAGGGGTTAAACTATCAAAATATTGAGAAGATTAACAGGTTATTAAGAATATAGGTGTAGCTTCCCTAGGGGAAACAGACATACATATTAAAGTCAAGAACCGACCAAACAGAAGGGAATCTACACTACTAAGTTATGGTCATCTGAGTTACAAGAATTGATTTGAGGAAGACATTATTTTGACAAAAAGGTTTCTATCAAACATTAAAAAAAAAACAAAAACAAAAAAACCCATACAACATGGACATAATACTATTCGCCCCTCAGAAATACATTCTGAGGTATTCTGAGGGTAAACATTCTGACAAGTTATGTTTGAGTTCCCTTTCCATTCAATGTCATTTGTGAGATATTAAAAATTACTGGAGGATAGGAATATTTTATGATCAACTAAATTACTTCTACTAGAGAAAAAAACATTTGAAAACAAAGTCTGTACATGGAATTTTACATATCCTCAAGATAATTAGTTCTCAGAGGTGCCATTACCTTTGTCAGGTATTCCTTCATGACCTGGATGAAATAGGGCATGGCAAAATCCATGATATTGTGCCTCCATGCAGTTTCCAGGACAACATCTGGCCTTAAAAGATCATAACAAGTAAAGAGACAAGCTCCAAAGCACTCTCTTTTTTCTTCCTGCAAAAACCACTGTAGGAGTTCTTCAGCCAACTCAGTATCTTTAGATTCAGAGGCATACTGCATTGCATCCTATTTAAAGGAAAGGATAAAGGTCAAACATTAAATTCAAATACACTGAACTGGTAAACTAAGTAATACAATGGGGAAAAAACCTCCCAGTTATATCATTTAAATTAAGGATTTCCTGAAAGAAAAGGAAAAGACAGGGTAAAGCTTTTTTTTTTAAAACAAAGAGACGTTTGACATAAACATAAGACAGCCTCCAGAATCAAGAAATCGACTTAATTATCATCTCCTCAAGCAGGAGCTTAAAGGCAGTTCTCATACTTGCAGAAACTAATACTTTTATAGACCATAACCACTTATAATATACCATTCCAGGGTTAACACAGATCATCTAGTATTTGGCTTAAGAGCCCCACCCCCACCAACTTTATTCACCTTGTACAGGCTATCTTTCTTGCACAGCTCCACACTCTGTTTCCAGCGATTGTTGCCTTTGAAGAGATAAGCAGCAATTCTTCTGAACTCAATGAGTTCATGTTTTTCCAAACGCTGAGCAAGCGAGATATTGTCAAAGTTGTCATAAGCATCTATCGATGTTCGCAGAGCCTTAAAAAATAAAACAAAGCCATTCAAATGCCAAACCAGTACTTCATTTTAGTTTAAATTTTATGTCCCACCGTTCTTGATCAATGAGCCATTACTGTATATGACTGACTGTATGTAATATGATCAATACCTTACATGATATATATGTATAATATGACTTGATCAGTGAGCCATTATTGTAATACGACAGCCTAGATTCAAGAATCAAACCGCAAAGTTGTAATATGAACAAGTATCAACATTCCTCAATCTAACTGTTTAACAATAAAGTCCTTCAAGGCACTACAAAATTTCTAAAGGTACCATGTTTTTCTCCAAAGTTTTCAGTATCAAGGACTAACGCGAATGGTTATGAAATTGGAAGGATTTGTAATCTGGAGGGTAAGGTTTTATGCTCTAGGTAAACTCCTGATACAACTCAACATGATATTCAGTCATAGAGATCAGCATGGGATCTGAGACTGAAAAAAAACCATGTTGACAGTAAGAGAAAGACAAAGGCAACTAGCTTAACCTTAACTTTAATTCTGTTTTTGCAAAATCCTTCACAAGGGAAAGTTTACTAAAAGACAGGTACTAATATGCTCTTGGGCAAGAAAAAGAGTGACTAAAAGAGTTAATACTGTGTAAGTTTTATGGACTAGTTTAAGAGCTCCAAAACTTTTTCAACTCAGTCTACAGTCTAGATGTTTAGGTATTTTTCTAAAGCATTAACTTGGACAAGATCTAAGCAGAATTCTGCAAACTTGGCATTTAATTAGGAGACATCAGATTTACCAATCCTGAAAACTTCACTAAATTTAGATCTGTGGCACTCAAGTACCTACTATTTACAGTCCTAAGGGATGATGGGCTTTTTGTTTTTACTGCAGAACATACCAACTTTACAACTCAATGATAACCTGAGTTTTGAGAATACATGAAAGAACCAAAAAGTTTTACCTGATAATCTTCTTCTGTAATAAAGAGGTTGTTCAGTGATTCATTCACAGATTTGTTGTTGTGGTTCTGGACTGAACGCAAATATGGTTTCACCAGTGGTAGCTGTTTAACCTTTAAAATAAGAGTTTGTTACAAATGTCGTACATTGCTAAAGTTCCATGGACAAAAGTTATCCAAGAATGTCTTAGCTCCTTGCTATGAAGTTTTGAGGTTTTAAAAATTATTACCTTGCTGAAATAATTGACTGCACGAGTATGATCCAACCGTGGAGACAGCACCATCAGCAAATCATTTAACAACAGTGGCTTGAATTCTAAGTAGAATTGTATTGCTCTGTAGTATAGTTCCACATTGGCAACCTAAAACAGCAAAAATCCATACATGAGGTAGAGTTACTTCCTAATGAGCTTTCTCTTTCTCTTCTGAAGAAGACTTTCTCTTCTGAAGAAGGTACACACCTTGGTAATGATATCTTTGAACTGCCCTTCTTTCCACGCATCAGTCGGATGATTCATCATGGTAATTATGGCATTATCATATTCTTCGTACTTGTCATACAAAAACACCAATTCTGCCCAAAGATGAGCTTGTTCTGCAGCTCTTAGCACCTGCATAAGAAAGATTTAATTGCTTTAGATAGACAGGGGTCTCTAATTCTAATTAACAGCAAAAAAAAACCCTTTCTCTTAATTAAAATTAAAGTATTCATTTTAGCTACAGAGTTGCCTTAAAATTAAAGGTTGGTTACCTTAGGAATGTTCACTCTGGACCAGAACAGCTCCAGGTGCTCCCTCATTTTCTGTGGCTTAAACTTAGAATACAGAATAGCTAATTCGGTGAACATCCCCATATGAGCTCGCTCAAGTCCCAGTGCTGCTTCCAACATGGTTATCAGCTCTTCAAAGTATCCACGATCCTAAATAAGAGAAAAATGCAATTAAAGACAAGAATATCTGTGGCAAAAGATCTCAGTTAATACAAAAGACTCAGTTAATTACCTGATAGTAGTTGATAAGTTCCTCCAATTCATCTGCATGTACTACAATATGAAGCCCACACATTTGAGCGAGACGGAACTCTTTCCCATCTACACAGGCAAAGCAGACCTACAATTTAAAGAATTGCAATTATGTGAACTCAAGTGTAAACATGGCTGGTTAATTCAATTAATCAGTTTAAAGAACATTCCTAAATAGCATCTTAATTCTTCACCCAAACTGTTGTTTACATTACCTCTTTCCATGTTCGAGTACTGTTAGCTTTCCTAGCTCCATCAACAGCTGCCTGATATTCACCCAGGTGAACCAGAGTAGATGCCAAGCGTCCAAAATTGGAAACATTATTGTACAACAACTTAGCAGCATCATACATTTTTTCATCATAACAGCGGTCACCAACCTGAAAAAAAAAACAAAAACCATTTTCAGTAAGCCTAAACTTAATCTTCTTTCCAAAGTTACAACTCAATTTAATACTAAGAAACAATATTTTTCCTTAGAAACTTTCAGTTGCCACTTGTTGATCCTACTAAGCTAATGAAGTTGCTCAACTATTTTTACACTCCTAAAAAAAAAATCGGAACAGGAAACCCACTTGCTGGATATGAGCGTTATTTGGCCCATTGATGAACTCTTCTAACTCTGCAAGGCGGTTTGTTTTAGCCAGTGCAAATATCAATTCTGTCTCCACATAGGATTCACGAGCCTTCTTACGGGCCATCTGCAAGTACTTCACCAGTTCTTCCCAGTTTCCTAGGTATAGAAAAACAAATAAGTAAATCCAAACACTAATATACCAACATTTATCTTTTCACTGAAGCAAATGAGAATTGCTATTAATTTCCCTTTCAAAGAGACAGTATAGAGAATAACAAATATAAACAGTGAAAGGCATCAAAATAGTGAAACTTCTATTACGCCTCTGTATTATTACTGACCAAATGAATAGCTGAATCCCCTTTTTCCTTAAAGTTATTGGATTAGAGATAGGTGAGAATTTTGAGACTTCAAAACAGAAAATTAAACTTCCCCATGGAACTTTTAAATTCACAAAACAGACTCTCTTTATCCGAACTAAGACGGAGGGCAAACAGCCAGGCAGTCTCTAACTCCTACTTAATACAGAAGAGACATATAACTTAATGCTTAGCTTAGGTACATTTTCTGAGGTGGCAAACACATAAAAGTGAGAAGTCATACCACTAGTATTGGCAGCCTGAACAACTTCCATGTAGGATGAAGGATCATCTGCTTTGATGTAAGAATCAATGGCTTCTTTCACCATTCCTTTCTGTAGCTGGGCTTTTGCGAGCTGACTCCAGACTGCAGGTTCATTGCAGCGTTCAGCAAATTCATATGCCCGATCTAAGTTTCCAATATGTTCGATCAAGACCTAGGCAACCAATTTTTAATCAGAGTTACAGTACAATGAATCTTACCACACAGCAATTACATTTAAACGGTTAGGATTTTATTGCTCTTCTATTGCCACAGCAATAAATTATGCCCATTCTCACAGGACAATACATACATTGAATCAAGACAAGGTACTACATTTAGTAAATCAACTCAGGTAATCTGTAGATTTACCTGCACTGCTGAAGTATTGACGTCAAATTTCCGAAAAATGGCAAATGCTTCTTCAAACAGCTCATTGCTGATGGCGATATTGGCAATATCTGGGGCATCATAATTATCCAGGCGGTTAATATATTCCATAACACGGGTACGGTCAGCCTTGATTGCAGTGAGGATGAGGAGGTTTTGCAGATTCCTTTAAGAAAGAAAGATTTGAATGCAGTGTTTGAAAAGCTCATTAGTCATAAAGAAAAAACACTGCAGCTAAAGAGTATTTCGCCTCAGGAGGTAGGGTGACAAGAGGGTATTAGAAAAGTGAGAATTTAGACAACATTCTCTAATCTTTGTCTCTGTTCCTTCTCCAAACTGACAGGCTATAATTAAAGACTAACTATAAAGAGCCAATAGACCCCTCTTCACAGGATACCTGTGTTCACTGAATACAGAGTTATCAAGGACAATTTTCTCCAGCAGTTCAATGAGTTCATTAGGAAGGTCTGCAGTCATAAAAGCCTTGACAGTTACTGACACTTCTTCAGGGTCCTGAGTCTCAGACAAGGCTGTCTGTACAACCTGCAGAGGATATACAGGGAATAAGTACTGAGAGTCAAGGTGGTTTTGATGATATTATCTAATAAGAATAAGCTGGCCTCAGTAGAAAATGAAACAGGCAGAGAAGAAGGAACGAGATAAAATACCTTTAAATTTACCACCCAAAGGTCTTTATACATAAATCCACATATACCTGTAACATGTATACTTTCGTTCTCTTGAAAAAAAAATCACCCTAATTACATAATTTCTATCTTTTCCCTGATTAAAATATTATCCATAATAACCACTCCTCATTATCACTTTAATGATTACATACAATTCAACCATACAGATGTGGCATTATATACTCAATAATTCCTCTATTTCTGGCTATTTGCATAGTTCCCAGATGCACCAATGAACATTTTTTCTAGGAAGCTTTGTATTAACTTGGGAATTTTCCTTAGAAATGCTTCCTAAGAATGAAAAATTAATATTCTTTAATTTATTCCCTTCTATATTTATACTCCTACCAACAATTTAAAAACCATTATTAACAACCTTCAATTTTTAAGGTTTTAAAAAATGTTTTCAATTTTTATATAGATATAAACCCGCATCTCCTTTGCAGGTCTATGCTTACTCTATTGAGATTTATTTAACATTTACCCACTAGGTCATTTGTATTTTCTCACCAATTCTTATCCTTTGCTGATTTACCACTGTCTTCAACATTTCTAATCAACTGAGTCACTTCTTAGGTATTAATAAATAGCAATTCTTACTCATTTTATTAAATGTTTAATTTACTGTTATCCTTTTAACTATGATAAATTGAGGAAGTCTTATATAATTAAATTCTCTCTTTTGGGATGTATTTTCTTCGAGAAGATATATTTCACTTTTGTTAACATTTATGATATATATATATTTTAGTACAATTTTTATTTTCTACTACTTTTTACTGCCATCTCTCATAGTTAAATATGATCCATTTGAGTATATTTGGTATATGATGAGGCAAAAGGTGTTATTCATAGTTAAAAAGATGAGCCTTAAACACATTTGCCAATTTTACCTGATCAATGAGAGGTCTCCTGTAAGGATTGCTTTCCAGCAGCACACTACCCCACAGTTCTGGATCCTTTCGCCGTACCAGATAGCGGGAAAGACTTTTGAAGAGGGAATTCTCATTGCAAACCTAAATGATATTAAAGATTAATTTCATGGTAAGAGATAAAACCTTTTTATAGACTGACTTTACTTTTAAAAGGTTATTTCCTATCATTATACCTAGTTTATTTTTTTATAGCAAAAAAAAAAATCCATTACTTTTACATGTATCTTTAATAGGTCACAACCATATTTTTCTTATTAAAATTCAATCAACAGAAAAAACATACTTATTAATTTTTGGAGGCTTTTAAAAAGCACCCTGATGTGGGATCTATATTTGGACTTCATATTCTACTCTACTGGACTATCTATTCATGCACCAGGATGCCAAGTTTTAATTATAGAGGCTCTGTAATGTGCTTTAATAACTGGTAGGGCTAGTGCACCTTCATAGGTTTCTTTTCAGTGTTTTACTAACTATTCTTGTGTGTTTATTTTCCCATGTGTATATGCATACATATATTCATATATTAATGTGTATGTACATAGATGCATTATATCCTAGCTCTGACCACTAAAAGACCCTAGAAGGAAATATACCTAGAGCCTAGATCTGGGTTTCTAATGGTACTCCCCACTAAAAGGGATCAAAGTTCCCCAGAAAAATGAATGATCCAGGGCTGGGGAGGGTATAAAATGAGCATGGTATAACTTGTTGGGCCAGGAAACAAAAAAGTGCTCCAAGAGCCATGAGACCACGACACAAAGCCATGAGAGGCAGGTTGATGGGATTTTTATCAGTCAAAACTGGAGTAATTTGAAAATCAAAACAATGGATTTATAACCCACAGAACTCATGAGTGCATGAATATATGCATGCTGACTGATAAATGTGGAGAAAGGGATAAAGTTGGAAAATCGTTATTTTGCAACCAACACATTAAGACTGGTTGAATAAGAATCAATAGATTCAAAACTGGGGGGCAGGGGAGCCATACATACACACACACACAGTAGGATTCTCGCATTGTCTTAAATGTCTCTTCACAAACTACTTAACATCTGCAAGGGGAAATCTATTTATACAATAGGAGAAATTGACAACTTGACAAAAAGTGACCCCCAAAATGAAGGACAAAAGGACATTAGGTGCTTCTGCATGTTATAGCATGAGAAAAACAAAACATCACTTAAGTAATAAATTTTGGATGGAAACGTACAATCTAAATCTAATCAGGAGGAACAATAAGAGAAACTCAAAGCGAAGAACATTCTATTTTTTTAAAGAAGACTTTTCATTTATAAGAAATATACAGAATAGGTGAATCCACAGAGACGGAAGGCAGTTTGGAGGTTGTCAGGGGCTGGAAGGAGGCAGGAATGTGGAGCAACTGCTTAATGAGTACTGGATTTCCTCCTGTGGCGATGAAAACTTGGAACTAGAGAGAGGTGTAGTGATTACAAACACTGTAAATGTACTAATTGCCACTGAATTGTTCCCTTTCAAATGGTTAATGTAATGTGAATTTTACCTCAATAAAAAGTTACACATAGAGAAAAAGACTATTTTTACAGTTATGTCTGTCAATAAAAGACAAAGAAAGTGTGAAGAATTGTTTTGGATTAAAAGAGACAAGATAGATATGACAAGTACATGCAATATGTAATCCTAGACTGGAGGGAAAAAATTTCTTTTAAAGGACATTACTGGGTCAATTGACAAAACTGGAATAAAACAGACTGTAAAAAGTATTCTACTTGTGTCAGACTGACTGAGGTTGCCATCTACAATGTGGTTATGAAAGAGAATATCCTTATTCTTAATAAATACACAATGAAGAGGTATAAGGCCATGAGGTATGCAATTTATTCTCATATGGTTAAAAATTTAGATGTGTCTATACATACATACACACATATATAAACATATACATATATGTGTGTGTGTACATATGAGTGTATGAGAACATAAGTGATAAAACTAGTGGGGTTAAATGTTAATGGGTGAATATAAGCTTAATCAACTACTTTGGCCAGTTTAAGTTCATAATTATCAGCAAAGTTTTTTAAAAGAGCATGTATCTTCCAAAGATGCTCCATATTACCTAAAACCACTCTGAAACTCTCAAAATTCACTAATCCAACATTATATATCAGGTTTTTAAAAAATGCAGTCTTGGGACTTCCCCGATGGCACAGTGGTTAAGAGTCCACCTGCCAATGCAGGAGACGTGGGCTCGATCGGGGAAGATCCCACATGCTGCGGAGCAACTAAGCCTGTGCGCCACAACTACTGAGCCTGTGCTCTAGAGCCCACGAGCCACAACTACTGAGCCCGTGTGCCACAACTACTGAAGCCTGTGCGCCTAGAGGCCGTGCTCCGCAACAAGAGAAGCCACCACAATGAGAAGCCCGCGCACTGCAACGAAGAGCAGCACCGCTCGCCACAATTAGAGAAACCCCACGCACAGCAACAAAGACCCAACACAGCCAAAAATAAATAAATAAATTTACTTTGGAAAAAAAAAAAAAAATGCAGTCTTCTCTGTACACGTTCAGCTAGCAGTACTCACATTAATAAGTTCCAGATCACACTGGCCACGTTCATAAGCAACACAGGCTAGATGTGGATCTCTCTTCTCACAATACTTTCCAACAACACGACTGTCATAATAAGGATTTTCCCGAAGAAATCGCTCTGGGTTGTTATTACTGTCTATGTAGATTTTGGCTAAAGCGTTGTGAGTAGCAGGCTCTTCACAGCCCTCATGAATTCTAGCCTCCAGCCAAGGCAGAAGCAGTTTCAATCTAGTAAAAAAAAAAAAAAAAAAAAGGAAAAGAAACACACAAAAACACCCCACATATACACATATTATATTATAAATAGCACATTCTTGACACACTATGTAAGTACCTTACGGTCTATAATGTACTTTCCCATACACTATTTTGAATTCTCAACATGCCTACTACAAATTGCGAAACTAAGACTTGGAGATGGTTAAATGATTTGCCCAAGATTACACAGAAGGTATATATAAGACTGTCTTTCATACTCTCCCAGATCTATCTGCTACATTATCTAGATAGGATATAGAAAAAAGAAGATTATAGGTTCATAGATTGTTCTTAAAACTGGACAAAACGGCTGGACTTTGGATAAGTTTTGTTTAGGAGTAGGATAGAGATGTGGTATGAAAAAATAGGCCTGATTATCTGAAGTTCCTTTTAATTTTCACACAAGTAACATACAACATTACCTAAAGCCAAAAGAAATAGTACCCTAAATATATACTGGGAACAAAATCTGGTAGCTTTAGAAGCTCTAGCTTTAATACCTCTAGCAGTCATACAATCACTCCACCAAGGGCCATGGTTTTGCTAAGTTATAGCTTATATTTCAGTGGTCCAGATGACCAATACTCTTTTACCATGGTTTAAATAACAAAATTGTTATAACCTATAATCACTTTAGTCTCAAACTTTAAAAATTTCTCAAACATTTTCTGAATGTTTGAAACATTCAGATATAAACTCTGAATACCATTAGCAGAACACCTGTACCACCTCAGGTTAAAATTAAACCCCATTCTTGATAATCTTTTCATAGCTACAGTAACCTCCTACTATTATACCAACCTCCTACTATTATACCAACCCACTAACCTCATTTACTACGTCAGCACTTTCTGAACACAAAATGTCCCGGCTAAAAAAAGACTTCACGGTATAAGTATTAGAAGCACTCACACTATGTTCTCCTCTACTGGAAATTCGTAATTCATATCAAGGTTCAATTTAAATATGAGTTTAATCCAGAGTTACACAGGGAACTCTTTTCTTTTGTCATGCTTGAGAAGAATTTATCAGAGAAGAATTAGTTATTAAATATGGTGGTATCATACCTAACCAAAAGGAGGCTTTTTACATAGTTTACATTAAAAACATATAGCTACATGGTTTGACTCTGTGTATAAGCATGCAAAGAAGGTGATCAACTAGATTAACAGATATTCTATATGACAGCTGTACTAGTTCAGAAAACAGTTTTTTTTTTTTTTCAGAAATAGAGCAAGCTACAGCTAGCTTATCACTTCTAAATTAGGTATCTCCAGGGAATTAAGGTCCATGAGTTACTGAGTAGCTTTTAGGCAACTGACAGGTCATACTTCTATTCATTACCAAGCTAAAAGAGACTAATAATTTATCTTTAGTTATGAAGATTAAAACAGTACTACACCTGTTTCTTTTTTCAACCTCAGCAACAAGCTCATCAGTAGAGAATTGACCTCTTACAACAAGAATCAAGTTTTTAATGACATCTTCAGAGCAATCAACATCAAGTAATCCTCCAATAACCACAGGAAGTCGACTTGGATTCACCTATGGTTTAAAAAAACAAAAAAGAAGAAGAATGTCATTACGTTACTAATAAGCAAAACCAAAAGGAGTTTTAAAAAATAAAACTCATTTCCCTCTTCAAGCTCAGTTTTAAAATTCAGTAATAAACTGAGTCTAAATTTACAACTAGACAAAGAAATTTAGCAGGAAGTCTGCCTTGGTTAATTAATTACTTCAGCATTGCTCCAAAGGACAAATAAGTCCAAAGAAGCTAAAGTCACAGAGTGACTGTGAAAACAAAAGGCCTCCATCATAGCAAAACTGCCTTTCTATTTCTGGAGTTAGAAGGTGAAGTTTCTAATATCTTTATTTAAGACGGTTTTAATACTACGCTTTGCAGCCCATGGCCTCCATACGGATACCACAAAGGCTATCAAATAAGTAGGGTGTAGGCCACTCAATTTTTTCAACTACAGCAGTTCTGTTTTGTTCTACCTACTTGGAATGCACGTAAAATTTTAATCAAAGAAAGGATTCTGCTGGAAAAAAAAAAAGTTGAAAGCCATTGTGGCAGACCACTCTTACTGGAGACAGAGTTTCAAAAGGATGAAGATTTCCAGTGTGAGCAGTAAAATCTATAAGATTATATTTTAAAGTTATCTAAGTATTACTTACCTTCTGTACATATATCTCTATATACTTTTGAAGATTATTTCTATATAAATAGAGCACCAAATCATGGACAAAGTCAAATCGATCACACACAATGATAAGTGGTAACTGATCTGTTAGCTTTGCTTCCTGGAAAAAAAAAAGAAACCTTAATTTTCTTCTTCTGTGAGTTTATCAGTGTAAAATATGAGAATCTGTTCTACACTTGTGGGAGAGGCTCACATAAACTTGGCTCTTCTTAAAAGTGCCCAACCCAGTTTCCATAAATTTTTATGAAGTAATACCTAGAGTCACAGCAAAATACCAGGTCCTTTCCACATACAATCCTTTACAAAAAAAGTAACAAGACTTGTGAGCCATCAGTGGCGCTCAGGATATAAAATCATCACACTGGGACTTTCATTAATAGTAACAACTGAATTTGTAGTTGATTTAAGAGGTATAGTCACACTGTCAAAATTAGGCATATTGGCTCACTTTTGTTTCAAACTGATGACTTGTTTTTTACCCCTCCCCATTCCAATCTATATGGCCGTCTTCTAACACTTTTATAATTGAACCAAAAAAGCAACAGTATAATGAGGATGCATAAATTTTAAATAACCCCATTTTTCTTTAAAAAAAAAAAAAGGTTTAAAAGATAAAAAGCATTTAAAGCATCTTTAAATTGCCAACTGCTTTTACCGTTACAAATACCAAGCTATAATCCTACTTACAGATTGACATAGATGTTATAGACAGGTAGGTAACACCTGTACTGGGCATTTACCTGATACATGTCCTGTTACATTCCACAGACATTAGGTACAGCACAAAAAACAACAGTTTCCATCAGGAATTCATTTATATACAGTGAAACATGCCTCAGTAAATGATTCCTCTATGGATTGTCTACTGAAGAAGAAGAACTAAGCAGGATAGGACTTTCCTCAATGACAGCCACAAAAAATGTTATTTGCAAGGTTAGAATAAATCCTAAGTCTAGCACTTATAAGTCACCCAATTATAAACAATTATAATTAGTCTATGAAGTGTTCAGAGAACACTAAACTAAATCTGGAGTCATAAGAAATCCTGAATTAAACAAACAAAAAAATGGCTGTAAATCTGAAGTGGAAGTCCAGCTGCAGATTTTTCCCATCAAGGAAAGTCTAAAGCAAGTATTATTTAGCACCATGGAAACTCTGTACTAAGAGCTGCTATAATCATTTCTAAAGAGAATGTTTGATCTACCTATGCAAAAGATTTTAGCAGGCCAAGTTTTTCCTACTAAACAAACATCAACATACTAATCTTCTTTATCTTGTTTAATATACATATAAAATATTACCTTCTGCATTTTACCATTTAGGGAGAAAACATACTTGGCAAGTAATCTAAGATTACTTAGGTATTCTAGTCTCACGCGTGGGTGGTTTAAGATTTCTGCTGCAAAAGACAACTATTTGTATTCACAAAGAAAATTTAAATTTGAAAAAAGCAAACACTGGGATACTTTCTTGATTACCTAAATTTGCATATGATTTCATATATGAAAATAATGCTATTAATATTTTAAATTTTTATTTAAAGGTTACCCTTTAGGTATTATGATTAGAGATTTTAGGATCAAAATTGCAATTATATAAACATATTCAGGTTTTCTTAAACATAAAGTTTGGAGATATAGCAGGGAACAAAGTAAGCATTCCCCAAAGAGACTTACATTCTAATGGGAACAGACAATGCTAAGTGTTATAAAGAAAAAGAGAACAAGACAAGGGGGAAGTGAGGATGGAACAGGAATAGATTTTATTTTAGACAGGGTAATCTGAGACATCCTTTCTCGTGACATTTGACTGGAAATCTGAAAGAAGGTAAGGGAGCAGGTCATGAAGGTCTGAGAGGTAAGTGGGAAAGGGCACAAGCAAAGGCCCTGGGGCAGCAGAGGGTTTGGGGAGTTCCAGGAATAGCAAGCAGGCCAGTGAGGTTGAAACAAAACCTGGAAAATAAGATCAAAGGTAGCAAGAGGCATGGGTCTAAAGAACAGTTTTACATTTTCTATGCAAGGCTACAGTTCCACAAGGTTAGGGCACGAGCCAAATAATGCTACTGACACGATTTCATCCTGCTTACAGGCTACTTTAAAGGAGAATTCATATTCTATCAATCTCTGTATTCCTGGTGGCTAGCATGTAATTGGCACTTGTCTAATGTTCAAGATTAGATTCAGAGAAATATTTTTCTTATTATCACAGTTTGCATACAACACCAGTTATAATACAGCTAGTAACTCCAAAATGAAGCTTAATAACAGTGATGATGAAATGGAGCAACCCGCTACAAACTACAGATCAATAAGGAAAGTGAGTAAACGGTTTAGTATGTTCATTCTCATTACTGGGGTGAAAGGCTGAATATCCAATAGTAGCATATTAGCACTGAGCTCCCATCTCAGATTATTTAATGATAAGAGACTAGGTTTTTTCCTCTAACTCAGGCTGGTATTAAAATTCCTTCAAGGAGTCAGGAATAACTTAAAACCAAAAAGAAACAAAACTTGCCTGCTAGAAAGGCTGACAATACCTTATTTCCAAGGCCCACCAACACAGCTTATTAACCACCGTTATCACTTGAACACCTATGGCATACAAGGTACTTGATAAACACAGCTTGTGGTTGAAGAAACCAAGGCTGAGGCACCTTAGTTAACTGGCCTGAGGTTAACAGCTTTATAGAAAGAAAAGGAATTTGAACCATGTCTGACTTTCAAAAGCCCATAATTCACATCCACTCTCCTCTATTAGACTTGTATCCAATTCACAAGTATGGAGGGGGATTCCTCACCTAATTAGATCTCATGGGATAAGCAGTGTAAGACGGCCACATCCTAGTTTCCTGAGGGTTTTTTATGAAGCTCAAGGTCATCATAATTAGGTGAAAATAGTTAACTTAGTCCTGCTTTACATATATATGACAACTCAAATATTACAACCCAATGCTCAAGAAATTACAATTGAAGCATAAAAGCTGAGAGCTTAATGAAAACAAATCAGTGTGGATCTGGTAGTATTTTTAAAAAAAGGAAACAGTACTGTTACTCAAAGGAGGAACTGGACTGGTGTTATGGGTACACTAGTCAAGCATAGAGTATCAAATCTTTCTCATTTGGACGTTTTTTTTCTGACACCAGGAAGTCATGGGTTCAAACATATACTAGCCAGGCTCCTCAGAATATTCATGATGGCCAAGACATTATAAAGCTATACTTCTGGGGAATGTTTATCTTTTAATCTAAAACATAGGGCAACTTCAGCACTTTAACTACATCATTACACTAAAACACCTAAGGGTTTAGCTATTTAATCTAGGTATTAAGTTCTTCAGAAGAAGAATCAGCTAAAACAACTACAGATTATCTAAAAATGATCAGTGTAGGAGTAAGAAAAGCCTGTTCTTTCCTACTAAATTGCACAATGAACATTTTGGTTTTAGTTTCAATCTAAAATTCTTCCAGAAGAAAAAAATACTTAAGAACTTTATATACAATCTCTGGAATCATTTAATATATTTTTAATATAAATGTAAAGTACGTAAATATGTATTTTGGGGGGATCTGAATGTTCTGTAGTTTTCCTAATTTTTATAAACGACTACCAATTTTAAAGTCTTACCTTCCTCACAAAGTAATTAGTAGGTATGAGAATAAAGGTAAAGTTAAGTTAATCATTAAACAAAAATTAACTGCCCTCAGGTATGCTGTAAAGGTCTAAGAATCTTTAAACAATTACTCTTCATTCCAACACAGGCAGTTCTTACTTCTCCATAACCAAATTCGTGTCACAAAGCTGAGGGGTTTTTTGTTCAATTGTACCTTCAATTTATGAATTACACATGATTAATATTTAGTTTCTAGAGTTAGGCTAATCAACGACAGAGATTAACCTATGTCCTTTACACAACAGAACCCTTTGCATATAATACAGGCCCCTTAAAATAACACTGAGGGCAAGCTGATCTTAATATTCAATTAATATTCAAAAAGAGCCTAAATGATATATATTCTAAACACTGAGCATCTACAATCACTTTTCAAAAATTTTCTTCTAAAATTAAAGTAAAAGAAAGGAAATTCCTTAGAGATAGTGTTATTTTCCTCTTCATTTAAACAGATGGTCATTCTTAAGTATTACTTACCAATTTCCTTCCTTATTTCAAAGGAAACCACAGAATATTAAATTTGGAAGAAATAATTCAGCATACAATTTGAGAATGCTAAGAATTTCACTTTTAGGGGAAAAAAATATTTTAAAACTGTGAGCAAACCTTTGCAGAACTGCCGATCTTCAACCCAACCAGAAAATGCATTACTCTTACCTTGAGAAAATTCTTGACTCGCTCAGGATCATAGCAGTTGCTTTCTCTGCAGATTCTTTCTACTTCTTTGATCTGCCCTGTCTTGCAAGCTGCCTGAATATATTTAAAGTGCACATCTGGGTCCTGACTAAAGTTAACAATGGATCCCAGAAAATAAAAAAGACCTTAAAGAAACAAATAATTGAAATTAAGCACAGGTGTACCTTTGAGAATGACAGACCTGAAAAATACTTAAGCAATTAAAAAACATTATGTCAATTATACCTCAATTTAAAAAACAAGCAAAACCCCCCACAGTTATACTGAATAGTCCCAAATAAAAACTGGTTGCTCAAAAAGCTCAATAAGAATATTAAATAGTCCACTAATCAGTTCAATAAATGGATTTGTACTTTAATCCCTACAGAACAGAAAATTCAATGTCTTCTAGTAGTTGAGAAATAGGAGACAGCTACTTAATATCAAAGCTAATTATCATACCATATTCCATATGAGAAATTTTAAATGAAGTCCACTATAGCAGGTGTTTCTCTATACGCAGTTAATAGGAAACACACAAAAGTAGCTTAAAAAGAATTTAATGCAGTGCCGTTCAACAGAATTTTCTGCAATGATGCAAATATTCTATATCTACACTATCTAATACAGTAGCCACTAACCACACGTGGCTATTGAGCACCTGAAATGTAGCTAGTGTGACTGAAGAACTAAATTTTTAATTGTATTCAATTTTAATTACTTTAAATTTACATAGCTACATGTGGCTAGTGGCTACTGTACTGAATGAACAGTATAAATGTAGTGCACAGTTAACACAGCAACTGAAAAATTTAAGAAAACTAGTAGGAATCGCTTATTCCTTCTGTCTAGAGCAGTACTACAAGAAGAGAGAAGAAAAGGTAAGTAGAGACCAGATATTTAGCTAATGAACCTAAAAGCCACCAACAGTGATTACATTAATACTCAGCATAGGGCTTCCCTGGTGGCACAGTGGTTGAGAGTCCACCTGCCGACGCAGGGGACACAGGTTCGTGCCCCGGTCCAAGAAGATCCCACAAGCCGCAGAGCGGCTGGGCCCGCAAGCCATGGCCGCTGAGCCTGCACGTCCGGAGCCTGTGCTCCGCAACGGGAGAGGCCCGCATACCGCAATAAAAAAAGAAAAAAAATACTCAGCACAACAGTGGTTCTCAACTGAGGGCAAGATGGTTTTCTTCCCAGGAGACATTGAGCAAGGTCTGGAGACATTTTAGTGGTCACAACTGGTGGAGCTGATGCTCCTGGCATCCAGTGGACTGAAGCCAGCAATGCTGCTAAATATCCTGCATGCATACAAAAATGTACCCGCCAACACAACAAATTATCCAGCCCAATATGTCTGTATCGCTGAGGTTGAGAAAACCTGCTACAGGGACAAGTCACAAAATTTCCTTGGCTAGAATCATTTGCCATTATAAGAGTCAGACAATATAAACACAATCATTACATACCTGATCATTAGTATTTTCATCTTATACAATTATGACAAAACTACTACATATATTTGTATCTTAAAATTTTGCCTTTAATTCACCTATAAAATATCCATGCAGACAGTCTTCTTCACCGCATGTCCCTGGAACCTGGTATAGAACATGCCTGACAATAGTTACTGAATAAGACGACTTAAAATATGCCATCAAAGTAAGCTTGTAGAAAGAATTTCCAACAGCCTATGACACTGTCCGTTTAACAATAACCCTCTTGGCTACCTTAAATAATTTAAAACAACTCAAACTCCTAATTACCTTCAAAACTCTTGAAAGATTCAAAAAGTTCAATCAGAGACTGAGTGGACAGTTGTTCGTGATACTTAGAAGCCACTTGCACACAGATCTGTAGATTCTGACGAATATTGGCAGATAGCATGGCTCTGAGGCATTCCAGGGAGTCTTCTACTGATAAGGACCCAAAGTAATTCACTAACCACTAGAGGACAAAATAAGTAAGTAAATAAATAAATGAAACAATGTTAAACCTAATGGTGGTATGAAATTATTATCATTCAGTAACACAAACACATTTTCGGTATACCAATTAATCATAACTAATAGTTAGGTAAGAGCCTAAAATACCTCAGGGTTAAGAAGATGGGTATGAACAACCGCACGCTTTATATCATATAAGTCAGTGAAGTGTTCTAAAGCACGCTGCAGGAGGCCCGCCTTCTCACACAGCTGAGCGATATGAGCCCGGTCATAATGTGTGAACATCTGATTCCCTAGAATAGCATCTGCGACCTATAAAACCATAAAAAGGATGAGTTTATTTTACTACTCCATTTATATCAGTAACTCTATATGCAGATTACACATTAAGATTCAACAGTGAATTAATTGGTAAAGGAGAGAAAGTACAAAAGAATGTTAGCTAAATTTTCTAAAATGAGGAACAGGCATGTCAGTATCTTCAAATAATCTAAGAAGCTCTGAATAACTACAAAAGCAGTGTTGGAAACATGCCTAGAAAGCATGAAAACACGTACTTGAGGTGCATGCATAAGGTTCATCTCAAGCAACCTTGTCTGTAAAGGACCTTCAGATGGGCGATTATTCTTCAGTGCATCAAGCAAGAATGCAGTACACTGCTGAATTAGATTGTATTCCATAAACACATCGACAATCTGCAAAAAAAAGATTTAAAGGAAATTGTGTTAAGATACTTAAAAACTGCTTTATGATACTGTTGACAATATATGTAAATGAAAGGAAATGAAACATTATCTCTTTCTTCACATATAAAACACTGCCAGATCAAATCCCAGATTTAAAGAATATTATTTGGACAGCGTAACGTCATAATTTAAGAGTAAGTTTTTGTCTTCTGGAGTTACTTTTAATTCTAGTAAAAACAACCACAAAATATTTCAAGATACTATATAATAGAATATAAATTGATAGATTTAAAATTTTGATGACTGATTGATTGATGCATGCATGCATGCATGCATGCCACGCCACACGGCATGCAGGACCTTAGTTCCCCGACCAGGGATCGAACCCGTACCCCGTGTGGTGGAAGCACGGACTCCTAACCACTGGACCGCCAGGGAATTCCCTGATGAACTATTTAAAATATACAAAAGCATAAAAATGAAAGAGTCTGTGACTCCCACTTCATATATGCATCTCTTCCCTCTCCCTTCACCTAGTGGCAGCGGCTATCCTTTGTGTTTTATTATTCCCATATATTTTTCATATTTTTAACACATATACCACTCTAAATGAGATGGTATTTGTTCTGCATGTTTTAGAACTGTATATAGATGGTATCTGACTGTCCACTCTTCTGCAACTTGCTTTTTTGGTAACGTACTTAAGGTTTATCCATGTAGATCAACACAGCTCTAATTTCTACAAATAAAAAAGTTAACCCATTCTTCTCCAAAGTTGTTTAAACTCAGATCTCCCCCATTCTCTATACTTCTACAAAATACATTTTAACTCCTTTACCTGTGTGATATCAGCAAGAGGTTCTTCATCCTGAACTAACATTTGAGCAAACTGCTGCCCCTGATCTGGACTGATTCGCATAACATTTCTCAGCAGAAAGATCCAGTCTGGAGTATATCCAACCTACAAAGAGACAAAAACTTAAGCCCTGCTACAAAGTTCCATTTTTATATCATTTAAAGGCTTTTTCTGCAATAGAATCTTGCTACTACAGACAGAGCTAATGGTGAAAATACAAATTCAGTTTTAACTTAGATGCTCAATTTGATCTTGGTTTATACAAGACAAATAGACACCTTGGTGATAACATATTTGAACAAATAGCTATACATTTTTATAACTGGCTTATTCAGTCTCATTGACCACCAAAAAAATCTGTTCTAACAGGTTAAACATGCCCTAGCAGCTTAAATTCTATAAGCCATGCAAGAGTAACTGTCTCCATTTTTGAAGTGTAATTCTATATGCGAGCCATAACAGCATTTTTATACTTTTCCAAGTAATTATAAATATTTAAGGAAATTCACTATTAAAGTCACTGAGAGTTACTATAAGCTAATTTCTCTCTTAATGTTTTAATGAATTTATGTGGAGAATCTGTTTCATTGAACTCACTTTTTTAGCATATAAAACAATCTTCTGGACTTGACCTGTTTCTGCAAAGCACTGAATGACTTTATTTGGCACATTAGCCCTTAGGTACACACTAAGTGCCAATGTAGGGTCCACAGATTTCACAAGGTCTCCCAGTTCTTCAGAGCATTCCAGCTGTCCAAAGGAAAAAGAGACTGTTTAGTAAGCCATGAGCTGCTGTATAAATCAGCAATTGACACTACTTCCACTATAAATAAAAACTAACATGACAGGCACTTAGTTTCTCAGTTGTCCCAGAATGTATTATAAATATGCAGGGGTTGTGGTTATAAAGACTCTTGATTTTTTAATTAATTAATGTGTTTATTTTTTGGCTGTGTTGCGTCTTCGTTGCCATGTGCAGGCTTTCTCTAGTTGCGAAGAGCGGGGGCTACTCTTCGTTGTGGAGCATGGGCTTCTCATTGAGGTGGCTTCTCCTATTACGGAGCACGGGTTCTAGGCGCACGGGCTTCAGTAGTTGTGGCTCGCGGGCTTCAGTAGTTGGGGCTCGTGGGCTCTAGAGTGCAGGCTCAGTAGTTGTGGCACACGGGCTTAGTTGCTCCACGGCACATGGGATCTTCCCGGACCAGGGCTCGAACTCGTGTCCCCTGCATTGGCAGGCGGACTCTTAACCACTGCGCCACCAGGGAAGCCCAAGACTCTTGATTTTGTATTCACAGCAATAACTCAGAATTCTCCACACATTCTACTCAATCAAGGATAAAAACCCACCAAGACTTCACACATACAGATACTACCAATTACCTTGTTAGGAATATAAATACTTAAAAAGCAGAATCTTGCTCCTCTAACAATTGAGAGTATTCAGATATCAGACCCACATGGTCTTAGTTTTTCAAGAATAATGCAGCTCCTAATGTAATGTTATGAAATGAAAATGTGATATTCAAGGAGCCAGATGAGGCTTACCATAAAGACCATTACTAAAATTAGGGTATAATCTGTATGTCTGAAGGATCTAAGCTTCATTATCTTCTTGATTTTTGGATTTAAGGTTATAAAGCAGGACATTAATTTCAAGAGGTCAAACAGATAAAAATTTTAGAATTTTTAGGTGGTATACATGCAGATACCCTCCTCTGTACTATTCAACCTGCCTTAGTCAGCTGCCCAATCTGGAAAGCAGCTTCTCTAAAAGAGTTCTGCTTTATATACTAGAGTTGATTTTCTATGATTATCACCGACATTCAATGAGAAGTTCTCTCAGAGTCTACACCTCTCAACCAAACACGCTAACTAATGAAGAGTTGACCAGTGTCCTTTTTACCACAAATGAATCCTATGTGACCATTCGCCAAAAAAGGTAATGACACCCAAAAAGCTTTCACACTTATATTGGTCAACTCAGTTACCTTGGTTGTTCCCATCCTCCCTTATCTTAAGCAATTAGGATGGACCTCAAATACTCGCTATGTGGCTAGTAACTATTCTTCAGCAGACTCCTGTCCAAGCATCCCAACTCCAAAGTACTATCCTCCAATATCCTGTAAGACTGCCAGAAGCTGGGTCAAGAAACAAGGACTTACAATTAGTAATGTAAAAATATAACCAACATAACACTAAAGCCAAAAGGTCTAACATTAAAAGTTATTCACTACTCAGAGTGCTACAAACAGTACCACCTCAGTTCTTGACACTGGCATAAGACATGGCAATTCAATATTGCCACTTTGTGGAGAAAGGCTTTCTATGGTGGTATGAAAGGAATAATACCACTAAAGGATTGTTTAAACTTGTTAGTTGGCTTACAAATAAGCCACATTTTCCATAATGTGCTCCAGAAAACATAATACCATTAGATACTCTATGTAAAAAGAAACTAGTAAGTACTGAGTGAATTTAAAAGGCATAGAGAAATCTGACAGTAAAGAAAGCTGGTTAACAACAGTTTTTAAAGATTTATAGTTAAATAATTTCAAGAAACTAAGTTAAATATTTTTTCATGTAATGCCAATTAACATTCTGTGAAATCTCTTTGGGAATCTATATCACCGCTAATTAGACAGCCCTGCTGTCTTGTTAACGTATTTCCGAGCCAACGTTTTATATAACATGTTTCCCTTGCACACCCAAACATGGTTACTAGCAGCAAATATCACAGTGTTGATACCTGGGAAGTTCTACAAGAAAAGATATGATGTTGTATGGTTGAAACTACTGGGCATATCAAGTGTGGGATGTGGGAGAAAGGAATACATTCTTAGGTCCACGTGAGTGTTACATATGTTGACAAATATGAATGCGCAAAGCGTCTCACACTAAGCTTTTCCTAAAGCAAAAGGATAGCAATTTGCTTCCAGATTAGTAGTTTTAACCACCAAGCAAGTAATCCTGGATTCCATTTTAAAAGATATCCTACCCTCAACATGCCACAAAATAAATACATTTTCAAAAGGAAATAAGTTTATGCATCTCATGCAATGTTTATTCTTGTTCTATTCCTACAAGCAATAAATAATGGATGGAGATGTTCTGGCACAGCCTATGTTTTTAACTTGCTAACATAGTATTTAATCAAAGCAAAAATATGTTAACAGAAGTTAATATACCTTATCTTCTTTTAACCATTTCTCCAAAAGCTGTTTCCGCCCTTGCTGAAGTACAGGCCTACACAGTTCTAAGGATTCATATTTGTTTAGCTGGCCCTGGTCCAAAAGGATTCCAAAGTACTGAAGCAGGGGAGAAGTTTGACCTGGCTGAGCTGGGACACTCTGGAACCGACGGATGGTGTCTGGGGTACGAAGGATTCCCTTTAAGAAACAGAAATGTTACAGACTCCTTTTAAAGATGACCCAACATCACACTAATAACTCCATGGGTCTCTTAAGTCAATTTTAAAGGCATGATTCCATCTACTAAAACCAAACCTCAAATCTTCAATATACTGAATAGTAAAGATTCAGTCACACTTCTGGTTCAATGTTATGAGATTATCCTGAATCAGGAACATACCAACCTAATTATAATAATGTCAATGTGTAAGACAATAATAGTTACAACTAGCTATTATTCCAGGTTCACATTAGGTTAAGTGGAAATTTCATTACACTGGTCAGGGAGTAAGGTGTTAATTCAGTCCAACATAATACAAAGGTGATGAGGATAAATTCAGCTCAACTTGAGACAGCTCTTCCTACCATAAATTGAACAGGATTTGTTTAATTTTCAACTCTTAGAAATAAAATCAGTAGCTATCACAGATAAGATCAAACAGTATAACAACTGAGTAACTAAACAGTATTACATCTATGTAAATCACAGCTTGTTAGATCTATATATCATTCTGACATCCTGAGTTTTAAAAAGCTACCCAAATCTAGAGCACAGAAAAGTAATTAAATCTAGAGGTACTGACAAGTAACTCATTCTACTGGAAAACACATCCTAAAAAAGATTAGTTTCTCTGTGGAAAGCTGGTTCTAGTTCTAACTAACAGTATTAGAAATAGAGCATATTAAAATTAATCCAATCATGGCAACTTCACTTTCATAACTATTTACCTTTGGTGCATTAGCAGCCACCTTTGCTGCCTCTGAGTAATTTCCCTGGGCAAAAAGAGCATTAAACTTCCGGGCAAAGAGTTCTTCAGCACCAGCCAAGTTGTTACGTACAGCCATTCTCAGGGCCAAATCAGGATTTTGTAGGACATTGGTGATATAAGGAATTATGTTTTCTTCTTCCACACATACTGAGAGAACCTGCAATTTAAGATCTAATGAATAGCTGCAATGTGTTCATGTGAGCATCAGTGAAACCAAATCCATTTAGAGCTGATGACTACTGAGTCACAAAGGCAATAAAACTGTGACAGCTGCTTTCTTATTGCCATTAAAAAAAAAGAAAAAAGAAAAAAAAAGAGGGCAGAAAAGACTAAAGGGTACTAAGCTATTTGCGGGTTCCTAAAATATGGCCATCTTATAATATAAATAACTCCCGACTTCATACTGTCCAAACTCTAACTGCTTTGCTACCATTCATTCATTCTTAACATGGTATGAGTTCACCTGGAAGAAGTTTAAGGTACATTCCTTCTAACTCTAGTATTTTTCAGTAATGTTAATTACATTTACATTCCCAGAGTCTAGATTATATACTCAATGAGGGGAGGACCACTGAATCCTCAGGCACCTTATATACCGCAAGGTATACAGTAGGTACTTAATAAATGTGGCACCAGTGAAGAGGAACTTCTAATTGCTTCTTTTTGAAGAACAATTATCTACCCTCAATCCTCCTAATAAGTCACAGAACACTGCTTAAAAGCTGAATTCCTGTCAATTGCCAAAGAGAAAGGGAGCCCTTCACTATGCATCCATTCCTCTCCCCAACACCAGAGCGGGTATACATCCCAGTAAACTACTTATATTACCCCCAACAGCAGTTCTCATACTATTACTTCTCATCTAAGTGTTTCTCAGTCACTATTCCACATAAGGAAAGGGACTTATCTTTGTTTAATTGTATTATTAGCACCAGGCAGTGTTTAGCACAAAGTAAATGCTTAATATTTGTTAAATAAATGAGAACTCGATAACCAAACAGATAGGTAATATCGATTTGCCCGTTCTATTATTCCTTTTGAGGAAAGTGAAAAAATTTTAACCTCCGAAATTCTTTCATTTCTACAGATCTGACCCCCATCGCCAAAAGCTTAGGCCATCTTATATCTGCAATGTGTCACTCTACTCCGTATTAAGACACACCTTTTAAAAAAAGGAAGAATTACTTTCTTTATAGTCATTTGCATTCCACCCATCTTTAATTTAATACTTACCTCCTAGGAAAAATAAGGGAGATGAACAAACCCGCTTCTAACTATACTTTCTGTAGTCTTCCCCAAACACCAAACCAGTTTCATCTTTATCCTACTTTTAGACTGTACTAGCAGATTTCTAGAAACCAGTACTTAAGATCTACAGGGGACAAAGAAGGTTCCTGTACTTCTAAGAAGGTTCCTGTACCTTCTAAAGTACTCGGTTCTACCAAGTTCAGAATGTAAGCTAGATATTGGCAACAATGTCATCTTGATCACTTTTGATTTTTCAACCAACAGAAACCACACACTCATTCCTTCAGGGCATAGGTCCAGCTATAGTTGGTTGGCTCTGATAAAAAGAATAAAGCCCTGAAGCCTAAAGGTTACTGTAAACATTCACCTTCTTATTCAAAGCAGCTGGCACAGAAAATTTGTGGGGGGAAGGGGAGGAAAACAATAAGTTCCCAGAATTAAAGTTATGAATATTAAATATATATGGTAAAATTATGCAAGATACTTTAGTTCAAATAATAGTCTCAAAAAAAACCCCAAAAAACAGTAGTCTCTGGCTTAACAAATTTATCATTATTAAATTATCACTAACCTAGTTCACCAAAAGACCCATTCATTCTTGATTTTTCCAAGAGAGACACATGCAACTGAATAGATGAACGCTACTAAATTTTTAAAGTAGCTTTTGTGCCAGACACTGACTGGTGTAGAAATACAATTAAACAAAGAAAAGCCCCTTTCCTAAGGGAGAATAGTGACTGAGACAACTGTAATTCATTGTGGTAAGTGCCATGAAGAGGGCTACCTAAGATCTGGGGACATAGAGCAGAAGCACCTAACCAGCTGTGGAATTGAGGGAGAGGATGCGTAAGTAGGGAAAGACTCTCTTTCTCTAGAGTATTTCTCTCTTCATATACATACCATTTTCTGGAAATTAACAGAATAAAGGAGAAAAAACCTATCTACTTCTTTTGCTTACCATCTAGGGAAAATACTAATTTGGAGGAAAACTAGTAAAAGGCAAGGCCAGTAACAGTACTGTTTTTGAAAATTTAACCATTTTTTTTTTTTTAGGGAAAAAGATACTTCCTGGTATATTTTAAATTACATTAAAACACTAAAACACAGAAAAAGGATCACTTGTGTTAGGTGGTATGAGGAGGTATGTCAAATGTGACAAATTCAGAACAGCTAATATACTCCCTAATTGGATAACTTTTCAAGTACCCTCACTGAACATATCATAGCTACTGTAACATATCACCTTCCAACATTAAACATTTAGTAATAATTAAAGAGGTAGGGAAAAAGATGTAAGAAGAATTCTTTTCCTTGTAGTTGATAATTTGTCTTAGAGAGATCATAGGAAGAAAACCCCTATAAAAAGTATACAATCTCGGAATTCCCGATGGTCCAGTGGTTAGGACTTGGCGCTTTCACTGCTGGGGTCCGGCTTCAATCCCTGGACAGGTAACTAAGATCCCACAGGCCACAAGGTGCAGCCAAAAAAAAAAAGTACACAGTCTGTCAAATGTGACCCTACTAGTTTCTTTGCATGAAGAGTTACTTCTCTTGATAATAGAGACACACACACAATTCTAGGTGGCTATACTGTATGCCAAATAGTTTCTCTCTCTGAGACAGTGTTAAAGAGAGACTGTTATCATATGCTTCTGCATTTTTAGGTATATATTATTTTCTGACATCCAAAGTTACCATTTACTTTTTGAAAAAAGCTAACACTAATAAGTGCTATTTTATTTTATCACTTAATTTAATTTTCAAGGTTTCCTTACTTGTCCCTTTCTGTTTACTCCAATTATTCCAGCTGTGGCTTCATGAGGTGCAGTGACAAAGATTGTTTCTCCACTGATTCTATTCATGTAGATGCAGGTACCAGTCTCAAGATCATACAGGTGGATATAACCATACTTAGTAATCAAGAATACTACATCATGCTTTTCACTGATCTGTATAAAGAAAATCAACAGTTCAGTAAAATGATGAATCTATAAACAGAAAATTTAGTCCAATTCCATTTTAGAGATGGTGAAATTCTAGAACTTTGACAAGAGGCTTACATGAAAAATTAAAAGCTAGTATTTATGGCTTCCTCATTTTTACAGCAAATTCAAATATGGGATATCCCAAGCTCTTACATAAAACACAAGAATATTAATAAATTGTATAAGATAAAAGAGAAAAACATCATATTGAACAAACTGGGATAACCCAATTTATATATTACATTAAAGAAAGAGTATTACTTTACAAAGTTTCACTAACAAACTATTTTTGAGTAAAGGTACCACTTAAATTATATTGACTATCAGTTGTAGTTTTTGAATTGTGTTAAGAGGAGAGATTTTAAGTTCATTTGTTTTGCTTAAAATACCTGCATTGCAACAGGAAAGTCATTTTGTGCTTCTGGAGGAAAGAAAACATCCACTGCCTTCTTTGGAAAGGGTTGGTTCCCTGTAGGTGGTGTGCCAACTTCAATGATATGTAACTGTTCAAAAGAAAATAAAACTTATGATCAAATGCTAAAAGGACCATAGCAGCTTTATTTGTAGCCCCAAACTAAAAACAACCAAAATGTCCTATGATAGGTGAACATTAAACTATATGGTACAACCATACCATGGAACTCCTCAGTAATAAAATGAACGTTCACGGACACTATGCCCCGTAGGAACACACAAAAAAAGGCACTCTCAGAAGATCACATACTATATGATTCTATTTACATAGCATTCTTTTTTTTTTTTTTGCGGTACGCGGGCCTCTCACTGCTGTGGCCTCTCCCGCCGCGGAGCACAGGCTCCGGATGCGCAGGCCCAGAGGCCATGGCTCACGGGCCCAGCCGCTCCGCGGCACGCGGGATCCTCCCGGACCAGGGCACGAACCCACGTCCCCTGCATTGGCAGGTGGGCTCTCAACCACTGCGCCACCAGGGAAGCCCTACATAGCATTCTTGAAGAGACAAAATTCTAGTAATGGAGAGTATTAGTGATTTTCAGGAGTTAAAGATGGTGAGGGAGAGGTAAGTGGTTGTGACTGTAAAGGGGTAGCAAGAGGGAAATCTTTGTGGTGACGGAATAGTATGTACCTTGAATCTATTCATGATAAAATGACACAATTATACAATTGAACCAATGTCAACTTCTGGTTTATCTACTGTACTACATCGCTATGTAACCTTTGGGGTAAACTAGGTAAAGGGCATGGGATTTCTCTGTACTGTCTTTGCAGCTTCCTATGAATAATATGTATTATTTCAAGATAAAAATTTTTAAAAGTCGGTTGAATAGCTCAATCACACCTCAATCTACTTTAAATTAAGAATGGTGAAACAATATCCACAAAAGGGCTTTTGATTATAATTTAGTTTTTCCAAATAGAAATCTAACTTAAGTTGTTAAATTCTTCTCTGCCCACACCTACTCTAAAGTATGCACTTTAGGTAAGTATGCACTTAAGCTGGCTGAGTTGTCGCTCTAATCACATACACCTCACAAATTTGGATGAGAACATTCTGATTTTAAATGTCCGATGCTTCACATCAGTGAGCGAGGCAAGAGAAAGCAAATAATGTCAATGAAAGAGTATTATATATTTTGCTTAGTCATGTCAGGAATGGACTAAAACAATAAATAATTCCATTTCCAAGATATATAACCATATGAAAGTTATTAGGGTGGTCTCATCCTTAACTAGGATGACTAGCCATCCAGCTTAAAGGCTATTGATTACCATATTTTAGGCAATCTCTGTCTTGATTTTTAAAAACTACTTAGCATGGAAAAATATTAAGACTTCAGAGATTCTGCTATGGCAATGAGAAAAGCAGTCAAACTGAGTTTCCAGGGGCAGCAGTGCTAACTGTGGTATCCAGCAGTGCAATCATAGCAGCAGCAGGTCCGCAGAGTTCTGTGTCAGGACTTTTGGCTGCTGCCCATTCTCCTTTATTCCTCCTAATTTTCCAAGCTTGGTTCTTAACCTTCCCAGCTATTGAAAACTATCCATTATCCTTTCATTCAATTTTTTATGCTCTAATCAACCACACCCTGTTTCTGTTGTCTGAAACTAAGAACCTTACAAAGTACTTCAATTTGTCCAGGTGATTTCAATGTATAGTCAGCGTTGAGAAGCTCTGATTTAAGGCAATGGTACTGAAATTGTGGTCCACATTCTATCTAGTCACCTAGAGCATTTAAAATGCACATTATGAGCTCCACTTACTGAATCAGACTCTCTAGGTGGAAGGCACACAAATGTACATTTTAGCCACCCTAGTGATTCTTATGCACAGTAAAGTTGAAAAACATCAAATTAAGGCCTTTGGTAAAGGCCATGAAAATAAAGTCTTACTATAAACAGCTGATACAAATAAGTTGTTAAAGAACATTCATTTTGGACAAGTATCACTAGAAACAGAATTTAAACAAATTAAGTCACCACAAATCTGAATGTTAAAAACAAATTAGCAAGAAAGGGAGAAGACTATTTTGAAATTAGGTAACAAATTAATTAGTAACAGAAAGGCAAAAAAGATAAGTTCTCACTAAAACAATTTCCAAAGGCAAAACTTACCTTCCCTCCAGCTTGACCCCGTACTGCAAAACAAAATAACGTCGATTCTTCTGCATTTCCTTCCATCTTAAACTGTGCGAAGCTAGCCGCATGTCCTTCAATGGGTTGAGACACTTTCCTATCTACAGAATATAACTGCATAGCTCCTACCACACGATTTTGCTACAAAAGATCAAGCAGAATAAAGTTTGGGGACCCAATAACTCCCAGATTCAACAACTACTGAAATAACTAGAATGCTTTACAAGAATTTACAATTCCTTGTTAGTCTCTCAATGTAGATTTGATACCTCTTAATTTAAAATTTAGCTGCAAACACTCTCTTATTAAAGCGTTAACATGCATGTTTAAAATGTGCCTCATACACAACCATCTCTTTACACTATCTTTAAAAAAAGAAAGATATAGGAGTACTCATTTTGCAGTAAATATCCACAATAAATTCCAAATCATTTATACAGGAACTCATTATCCACTCAACCTGCAAATAAGACCTAAAAACACCTTGGTAAGAGTACTCTGAGCTGTATGTTAGTATAAAAGCATTAAGCCAGCAACCTCTATTTCCTAAAAACAAAAAAAAAAGGAAGGAAAAAAAACAGTCTTCCAAAATAAATCAGATTTGCAAAGACAACCTAATTTCAAAATAAACTGCATTCTGAGCCCATTAATTCTCTAAACCTTTTCTTTATTAAAAACTAGAAAAATGTTACCTGTGCAGATATGCCAGTCAGAAGTAACCACTTTTGCTTTGCATCAGTACGATAATTGATAATCTGGCACCCTGCAAGGCTAGAATGGCGATCAAACATTTTCACCGGCTGAGACTCTCCTTCCATACTCCAATGATAAACTGCATTATCCGTAACAAGAGCAACCGTATTCAAAGAGATCCATTTCCAGAAGGTGACATCATCGGTCATGGTATGGGCCTTCATTTTACTTTTCATTTCAATGTTAAATATCTGAAGAGTTTTCCCAGCTAAAAACAAAATTAAGAATTATGAATCACTAAGAAAGCAAAGTTCAGGATAAATTAATATCTAGCTAGACTAGACTCTCTCTGCAGCAAAATCTGTAACCTCCAAACAAAATGGTTCTATCATGAGACTAATAACCAACTACAGAAGTCACACTGACAGACTAGCAACCATTGAAGAGATAGCTGAAACTGGGTAGTCTACACCTAACTGTGACGCAAAAACTCTATCACCTCTAATCAAGACATTTTAAACAGACAGTATGACTTCCAGAGAATTCTAAATCTCAACTAAAAATGAGTCTAAAGAACAGCTCACTTAACAATGGAAAACAAGTTGTAATCTTCATGCTTAATTAAGAATGCTTACCCATAAAGTGAGTTAGTGGTAGGTACACAGAACAAAGCAAATCTGATTCAAGCACATGGGGAAAATGTCTACTTTTTAAAAGGCAGCTGTCCCCGCCCCACCCCCACCATTCAACTAAATCTCGTGGAAACTTCTCTTTGGAAGAGGATATACTTCAACTCTACCTTGTACCACTAGCATATAAGAGAAGTGCATGCTACGTTTAGTTGGTTTAAGATACAAAGGGAAGGTAGGGGTGCTGGAGAAAAGGAGAGGGAGACAAAGGAGGACAGTTTCAGATGTTAATATACTAGAGATAAGAACAAAATTCAAGCTTCATCCAATTAAGACAGCAAACATTTAGTAAAAGAAGGATGAAATTTGCCTTGAATGTTAACAGTTCACTGAGTCAGATGCAAAGGCTTGTACTTATAATTTGAAATCCATCACAGTCCGAAAAGTGATTTGGTTTAAATGACTAGAGGTCAAAAGCCCACGGCTGACACTAGGCTATCTAATTCAGATTAGTCCTTGGAGACTAAGGAAAACTCCATTACTGAGCCATAGAGAATCTGGCTCCTGAAGAACAAAAATTATAAGATAGTATGGGGGTGAGAGTGGGGGTGGAGAGAGGGATGGGACGGGACACAAAACATACAGCTTTGTACCACGACCCTTCCTAATTACTACATAGGTAAAAGCTTCTTCCATAAAACGAAGAATGTTATTCCCATCCCACACAATATGTAAACCACAACCAGACTTGAACAATTTTGAGAGTTATAGTCCTGTTTATAAAAAGAAACCAAGGGATTTGAAACTGGATTCAGAGGGAAGCAGTATTTGGGAATGACGTACTTTCCTCTGCTGTCTTCCCCAACCCCTAGTTAATTATACATTTTATTCTTTACATGAAAGGGGTTGGTGGGGTGGTTTCGGGAGGAGGGCAGGGATGACAGCTTAACTCTGTAATGTAGACATACAGGCACAAATCATTTCAATTTATTCTTTTTATAGAACAGGACAATAACTAATACAATCTAATTTAAGATAACTCACCATCTGCACACATAAGAAAGCATTAAGAAATGTGATAAAATAACAGTAACATTAAAAATAGCAAAGAATTTTGAGAAAATTAAAACGATGGCCTTTTAATAGAGGTGTGAGAGCTGCTAAGCAGTTGAATTTAAATTCTTTAAGGAGGCTGAAGGGAGCTTAATACCTTAAAGTATAATATGTATTGTTTAATGGAAGCAAATAATAGATCACTGCCACAGAACAAGTATCCCAGGTAAAAGCTGGACCATCTTTCCTTGAGATGAGATCAACTCCTATCTTGGATATGTAATGGAGACTTATCTGTTTGAATATGCTTGCCCCCCGACCCTCAGCCAACCAATTTAATCTCCAACCAGAGTTACTACTAAATACAAAGTATAAATCATCTGGGAAAAAAATGTATTTAAAAGTCTATTTAAATACTTCAGCACCTCTAACAAGTCACCCACAAATTTATCAAGAAATTACTAGGAATCTGAACTCTTCCTGCTACAACCGAGAAGAAAAACAACAAAGCAAAAAATAGGCAATTAAATGTGCCTTTCAGATTCAGCCAGTTTGTTACCTAGCCCTCTTAAAAACCCGTTTTAAACGGTCAATTTCACTCAGTCTATAGTTCAAAGGCAAAAAATTAACATAGACTCCCAGAGAGTATGAGGTTCTCTGAACTCTGTTTAGATTGACAGGCTGTACAGTTCCCTGTTGTGACAATTAAAAAGTTAGTCTGAATAAACTCTAACACCGTTGATTCCAAAAATTTAATACCCACCTATACACACACACACTTTCAAAAATGAGTGTAAATTCAAGCCATTTTTAGAACTTGATAATCTAAATGAAACACAAGCCTGAAGCATAAAAAAGGCACAGCATGAAGAGCAAGTTTATCATCACAACAAACTTCTGCAATGTTTAGGTGCCAATATTAGTAAAGTATATTTTATCCCAGAATATGAATCACTAATTTCTTATGTCTTCTGTATATGGAGTTATGTTTTCAGTACAATCTTATCACACTGTAGGTATAAAATTTAAATTCATTTAATCTAAAACTTAAAATTTTCCAAGTAGATCTTATGAGTAGAAAGTAAGACATCTCACAGAAATATGCCTAGTAAGTCATGAAAGTAGTTAAAAATCAAATACAGTAACAGCTTTAACTTTGCAGATCTATTTAACCAAATTTAATCAATATACTAAAAAAATAGATCCTAATTATTGTATTTGAATAAATTATACATGGAAAAGAGTTTTAAGAAAAAAAACCCCACGATCTTTTTATACCTTTTAGTGCAATTACTTTGCTGGCTGGATTCATGATGGCGCTGTCTGCTGAAATTGGTCTTCGAATTGGATTACTTGGGTCATTCATATCAATAATTACCACCTGGGCCTGCTCTCCTACTTTCTCTCTAATGCAGATGAATTTGTCTGACTCCATAGTCAGGGTACTGAAGCCGATGTTTGCTGGGTTTATACCCAGGTTTTGGAGCTGAGGGAAAAAAACAAAAAATATTAATAAATCATATTACAAAGCGAATTAGAAAGACTTGATATTCATGTATTGTTATCATTACAAATCCTCACTTAACCATTATTGCTTCAAGGTCAACAGTGACAACTCCATTGATTCAAGTGAGACAATTACTATAATGGACCTTCTCTCTTCCAACAAATATGGCATTCAATTGTTTTGTTATAACCTTGTAGTTGTAACTTGAGATGTATAACCCTCTGTTTACAACTAAGAGGCAGAATAAATAGATATAAAGATAAAGGAAAGAGCTACATCTGAGAGCTAGCCTTTATGGGTTAAGGGACCTGAGGTAATCAATGCTTCTTGGTTTAAGATCTTTGAACTATTGCATCTGTCCTCTCTAATCCCCTTTAGCAATTAGTAGTTACTTGTTCATATGCATTGGACCTCAGGAATCTGAAAATTAAATTACAGCATAAAATGAGAGATTTAAAAATTTCACAGGGTTCTTGGTCTAAAGGAACTTGGATTAGCCAGAGCAGACAAACAATACCTTGCAAAAAGTGCCAAAACCAAGATAGGAAAGAGAGATCCTGTCAAAGGAGGCCTACAGGCAAGGGAATGAACGTGAACGCTGAACAGAAGGAAGAACAAATGCTAAGGCCTAGAGATACAAAAGTGTGGTCTGCTAAGGGAACTGTAAGTACTTTTGTAACATTGGGAACATAGACTATGAAAGGCTTTCAGAGTAGAGAATTAAGGTTATAAACACAAGCAAGGGCTAGACTGATAAGCTAAATGTACCCCAGTAAGAATCCTGAATTTATTCTATAGGTAAAGGAAGCTACTTAAGGATTTTCACAAGGAAAATAATGGAATCAGATTTGCTTTGTGTACTCAGAAGCTATTAAAGTATTTGCTAAGCGAATACACAGGACCTAAAGACAGCAGTCTTTGAAAACTAGTTAAGTGTATTAAGAACAAAAGGCACTTGTTAAAAGAAGACTTCTACCAGAGTGGGTCATTTCTCTGAGTGACTAAATGTAGTATAATAGACTAAGTACCACTCAAAGGCTATCTGAAGGCTTTCTTAGCTTTGACCAGCCTAGGGTTTTTTGTTTTTTTCCTTTACTCCAATAGATAACAAATTCACATAGAACAAAATCAAACAAAAATTTAAAAGCGCAGGAAGCAAAAAAAAATAAATCAAGTCTTCCTCCTGCCTTTGTTCCCCAGATAGCCTATTTCCCTTCCCAGAGACCATCACTGTCACTACTCTCTTGTGGACTGGCTGAGCCAAATTAAATGTATTTAACTTAAATTCTTTTTGTCAAACTCTTCTGCCAATAGTGCTTAACTATAACCAGACCAGGATCTCAAAAAGATATAACATAAGATTAAGAGACTACATTTTACTTTCACTTCCCTCTTATACCTCAATGACTGCAGGCACAACCAATTATGAAGTATAGTTACAGTAACTTAGTCACTGAATACCAGGGCAAGGAGACAAGCAATTGTCTAACTATTACCACAAACATGGTAATAAAGTAGAAGATTAACTAGTTGTACAAGCTCAAGTATCTGCTGCAGTGCAAGGCAAATACACAAGCTGTGAGATATGTAACTTATACATGAGTTTGGTTACAACAAAACTTTATGAATTATCAATTTTAATTTCTTCCTAACTTTAACTTTTAGTGACTTTTAGTTTCAGAACTAATGGAGGAAGATAAATATAAGTGGTCCTCAACAATATATGAAGACACTGTGTGTGGGCTTAAAGGAAGCCTTGTACAAACCAAATTGTTCGTCTAATTTCACGTGAGGTGGGTACATTCGTTTTTCTGAGTAGACCAGTCCTCAGACTCTTAAGCTTAATTGATAGTTACCTTTCCAATAATTAAAAAAAATTCCAGTAGATCCTAGAGCTCCCAGAACTATATATGTAAAAGCAACAAGTTATCTTCTAGACTACTCTGTAAAATAAGAATTCTATGCTTCTAAGTCACTACCAAGCATTCACCTAAGGCGATTTTGAGTCCCAACTGTCACAGCTTAAATCCTACAATGTCTGAGAAAGTAAAAACAAATAGTGTTAGTCAAACAGTAAAATTAAAAGTAAAACAAGGATGCAAACCACAAACACTACTAATTGAACCCATAAATGATTCTAATAGATTCCTTTTCACCCCTCCACATAAGAGGCAGGTACAAGACAACTGTAAGAGAAGAAAACACTATTTGAAAAGGCAGCAGGGCTTCCCTGGTGGCGCAGTGGTTGAGCGTCTGCCTGCCGATGCAGGGGATACGGCTTCGTGCCCCGGTCTGGGAGGATCCCACATGCCGCGGAGCGGCTGGGCCCGTGAGCCATGGCCGCTGAGCCTGCGCGTCTGGAGCCTGTGCTCCGCAACGGGAGAGGCCACAGCAGTGAGAGGCCCGCGTACCGCCAAAAAAAAAAAAAGAAAAGGCAGCAAAGAGGAGGAAAAAAGGTAAGTCAAGAAATATGTGTTTCTTATTCCCAGCTAGATCTCCAGATAAATGCAGCAAGAAAGGCACATGTTGTCAAAATTTAGCACTGACCTTCAGCCTCAGAGCTGTTTTATTTGCAGAAAAGGCAAAGATCTGGTTCAAAGCGGGTGGGGTTCCTGTACTCCTCACAATTTAGGTAATCCTTATTTTCTTTTCTCATTAAACACATTCTACCAAGAAAGCTATGCATATATATTTTTTTAATCTTCTCTATCAAGAATGTACTCCATGTGAAACAAACATACACCCTTTATTTAAAAAACAAAATTAAACAAGAGGTAGATGGCAAATTCTCACCAATCCACATATTTAAACATTTTAAGGAGCCTACTTGAGTAATGCCCATTTATACAACTAAATAGGAAACTTCTCCTTCCTAAAAAGCCTATCCCAGTTGTTAGGATAAGTGACAGAACTTCAAGTGACCTATTCCTATCAGTTAACAGAAAGTTACATTTGCTCCCTTCTCTTCAAATGTCAGTAAGAATTTTTCCTTACTGGTGATACTTTTCAGTGAGAATGCCCAGAACGCTCACCAATTCTTCCCATATTTTCCTAGGATATGTTCAAAAGGAAAACATCCCAGAACAGTCATAGGACAGGTCACCATCATTAATCACAATTCTGGGTTAGGTGCACTCTTAAAATAGGATCATATAAAAGGGTTACCATACTAGATAACTGTGTCTAGCAATATTCATACAGATTAAAACTTTAAAATACAACATAGGGAATTCCCTGGTGGTCCAGAGGTTAGGACTCCGTACTTCCACTGATGGAGGCCCGGGTTTGATCCCTGGTCAGGGAACTAGGATCCTGCAAGCCACTCAGCGCAGACAAAAAAAGCCAAAAAATACCGTAATGTTTTTAAACAGATTTCATTTTCAAAACAGCACATACTAGCCATAAGATATTCTAGTCAATCATAAAGGTCTGATGGTGTATGAGCTATCTACCACAGAAACTGAATTACAGACTGTAGAAGAAACCTCTAATAAATTCAGAGACCGTATAAGCATCTCCAAACTTGCAGCTATTTACAGAAAATATACAACAATATCAGAATTCTGGCCACATTTTTTATCCTCTCAATTGGCAAAGTGTTGCTACTGTTGAAGATGGGGACATTCTATTTTGAGATATACTTGGAAGTTTCTATAATAAAGTGGGTTTTTTTAAACTTCAAAGAACTTTTATTTTGCTTTTATAAAATAAGAATATGGAGACAATAAACTTAGGCCCAAGAAAAGGGATTACTTTTTTTGAATAGTTATTACATGTACATGGCAAATAATTCATACTATACAAAAGGGTATATACACTATGAGAAGTCACCCACTCCACGTTTCCAGTAATACCTCTCCCCCTAGCAATTACAGATACTTTTCCATCTTGGATATCCTATGCACACATGAAAGTATGTATTTCCATTCTCCCTTTAAGAAAAAACACTAATGGCACATGCACAAAAGCACACAGACTACCAACTGCTCCCCCTTTAAAGAAAGCCACCCAAACTGTGTAATTTGTTTAGTTTCCAGGCTAGATTTTGGACACTGGTCTGTAAGTGGCAACACTGTAGGACTTGACACGTAAGTCTAGTTCAGATTCCAAAAAATTAGTTCAGTTGTCCATCCCTCATTATCCACTGGGGATTGGTTTCAGGACCCCTCGCAGACACCAAAAATCCACAGATGCTGGAAAGTCCTTCATATGGATGGGAAACCACAGATATGGAGGGGAGGGCTGACTGTAAATATTAATAGATTTACTGTTAATCAGCACACCCAAAACTCTGGAGTGCCCTGCAATTACATTTTACAAACGATAAAAAAATGATTCCTTTACCCTCTGCTCCCCTCCTCACCCCAATTTGGATTAACATGCCAAGAGAAAAAAGTGAGACACTGCATTCTTAGTTTTGAAGTGAAAAATAGTATTTCAGATTCCCCATAACCTAGAGAACACAGAGGGTTTCTTCATTCAAGCAGACAATTACTGTACAAATGTATAACTCTGATTATAAACTACAAGTGCTATCCAGAATTAGTTCTGTGGATTCCTCATAAGAGCCAAAATGTCTGGATTTAGCCCTAGTTTTGCCACATAAATGATCATGGGCAAATCAATTACCTCTGTATATCCATTTCCTCACCTGAAACATGTGAGATGATAGTATATATCCCACAATTGTGAGGATTTAATGTGAAGTGCTTTCAGAGCAGTGCCTTACACCTAATAAAACTTCAATAGATACTATTAGTACATATAACACATCAGTACTTAGGCCAGGTAAGTTTTTTTTGTATTTGCATTTTATCTGCTTAATACAGCTGTCCTAGAAGTTGGCTGAAATTCTGGGTGTGAATTTCTTTTGATTACTGATAAAAGATTACTGGTCTCTGGGTGCTTAACTTATTAGACACTGAATTTTTGTTTGTTTTTTCTTTCAAGAAAAGGAAATTACTTTTTAAAATTTCCAA